TTGTTGTCGTTGAGAATGACGATCATGTTGGAGTCGAGGTAGCCGGCATTGTTCATGGCTTCGTACACCATGCCCGCCGTCATGGCACCGTCGCCGATCACTGCGATGACGTTGTTCTTCCTCCCCTTGAGGTCGCGCCCCACAGCCATGCCTGGGGGAGACGAGGGAGCAGGGGGAGGAGGCGGGGGAAAAGAGGGGGGGGGGGGGGGGGGGGGGGGGGGGGGGGGCAGGGAGGGATGGGAGGAGTGGGGGGAATGGGGGAGGGGAGGGGAAGTATAAATGACAAGTGAGCATATGCCATGGCACACGGTGCTCAGTCACCGGCTGTACGACCTCTTGGCCTTCAGCAATGCCAGGCAGTGGACAAGGAAAAAGGGGAAGACGAGGAGGAAAGGAGTAGAGGGAGAGTGGGTGGGGTGGACTGTAATTACACCTACTGCAATGCAATCGGCGTAAATCCTGGGATGGCTTGTCTTTTTCTCGGTGGTGCCATTCATGGCGTCATGAATTTTAGGGAGAGGGGCTTAGGTTACGGAGAGTGTCCGGATGGAATAGAGGATTGAGGAGCGATGGATGGGTGGAATTCCGAGAGGTCAGAGTCAGAGTTGAATTGAATTGAAGGGGCGAGAGGACTGGGAGAACGGGGATGGGAGGCTCAGGGTGAAGGGTGAGAGAGACGGCCCCCCGTGATTACCATCTCCGAATGTTGCTCCTGCTGTGCTTGATTGGGGTTCGTGGGTTCAAAGAGTGCAGACATCATAGTCAACTGGGAGGATAGTCATACCGTACGGAACACGGAATCACAGGGCAGGAGAGCTACCCACCCATCCCAGTCACTCCCAGTTACGCCCAACCATCTTACCAAACCCAGCACTCGCCCACCCCAGCCACCCACCAAGCCACTCGCCCCCAGCCGCGCCCAGTTACGCCCAGCCACCCACCAACCCCGTCCACTAAACCACTTCCCCATCCCAGCCACTCACCAAGCCCGGCGGAGATACTCGTGGAGCTGTGCCCGGCGCCGAACGCATCATACTCGCTCTCCGCGCGCTTGGTGAATCCGGACAGCCCGCCCGTCTGTCGCAGCGTGTGCATGCGGCTGCGGCGCCCCGTGAGGATCTTGTGCGGGTACGCCTGGTGGCCCACGTCCCAAATGATGCGGTCCTCGGGCGTGTTGAACACGTGGTGCAGGGCAACGGTCAGCTCCACCACGCCGAGTGAGGATCCCAGATGCCCGCCCGTCTTCGACACTGTGAAGATCGTCTCCGCTCGCACCTCCTCCGACAGCTGCTTCAGCTCCTGCTCGGGGGAAGTGGCCGGGGAAGGGGCGGAAGGGGAATGGGACGGGAGAACGCACAGGGCAAACGGGCAGGAGGGATGGGACAGTTAGTTCGGGATTATGTGAGACGACCCTAGTTTCCTGCCCTACTCGGCGCTGACCTTCTGCTCTTGGGAAGGGCCGGCGAAAAGGATCCGGGAAGGGATTGGAAGGAGAGGACGAACAAAGATGGCGACACAGACGAGATGGATGGAAAGGGACACACTGTACCAGTGAGGGGCCAGCGACATGGTTTAACGTCTCGAGACTACCGCTTTCAGGATTCGTTTTGCAGGTTATGAAGAAAAGACACCTGAAACCTAAACTTCCAGAGAATTTTGTCCGGCTGTCGATGTACCAGCAGAAACTCGATATGGGAATAGCTTTCCCTAGAGCCTGAAAGTCTGAGCCCCCCCTTCTCTGTATACCCCATCAATTATTGTCGCATTTCCGTCATCGCTCATACTTCTACGAGACCTGCCATTGGACCTTGAACGAGACAAAAAGACGCAACTTTTTTCATATACCCAGTAGAACACGTACCCTGATGCTGAGATTCTTCATGTGAATCGGGTAGTTGACAGTATCGAGGATAGGCGTGGGAGGCTTCTCGGTGAAGTACTCGCCCTTCTCGCTGAGGGTCGCCACAGGACCCTGGTGTTAAGTACACGATTAAAAGGAGGAAAAAACACAGAAATGCATCAGCCATCGCACAAGAAGGTACGAGAGGATAACTTGAAATTACAGTGGCTGGCTACCAGGGGATGCAACGTTAGGGAATCGAAACGAAGGATAGTACTGTGCCCTAATAATCTGGCACGAAATGGATGCAGAAGCTAAGAGCTTACATTGTTGGAGCTTCTGCGCTGGACGTTCCGTCCTCTCTTCGCGACGCTCTTCCTATCCGTGAGATTCACGTTCTGGCGAAGGCCGCAGAAGCTGTCGACCTTGAGAACGGAGTGCGAGGAGGAAGCCAGCACGGGCTCCTGGTTGAGACCAGCCGCGAGCACGGCGTTAGCGCCGGAGCGAGAAGCCAGGGACGCAGCCATGGTCGGTCAATAATAATATAAGACCGGGTGGTGGCTTAGCTCGCGCTGGGCTTGGCGTGTGATCCAACGAGCGGCCTTGGCGGTAGCGAATATTAAATTGACTGACGAAGAAACCAACGAACCAACCCTTCAGACTTCAAAGCTTGCCGCGGGAAACTCGAGGGAGGGCTGCCGTTTTGGATATGTAGGGCGAGAGTGAACCACCGATTGGGGTGCGATCGGACGGCGGGTGGCGTGTCGAGCAGAACACCGGAACGAAGGCTTGTGTTCACTCGGACTTGAGTTGAGTGGTGCGTAGAGGTGAATGTGTGAACATGAAGTTGTCAGGGACACGGGAGATGAGGTCGGGCAGCCTCGATTTCGTGTGTCTGCGTGGCGTTCCCTGCGTTCTCAGGGCGTCACTTTGTTTGCCCGGCTGACCGATCTCGAAGTAATGGTCAGTTCCCCTGGGGGTGGCAGCGTCGATTCCCAATTGAAAATGAACTGGTTTGGAGAACCTTGGACGTAAACCGGAGGGTTGTGGAAACTCTGGAAATTTCCCTTGCCCTGCGGGATACCGCGGGTGGAGTCTCCAACCAGTTAGGCGGAACGAAAAGCTGCTATCCTCCACGGTCTGAGCGAGACGAAATTTGGATGCTGATGTGGCAAACGCTTTTGGAGCCACATCATCCCAAACGTATCGGGTTCCGCCTGTCGTGTTCATGTACCACTATGGGATCGTGGATGCGTCCAATGAAAGCCGAGGAGGCTCCGCTGGCTTATCCTGCACTTTTGAGGTCGGCGCTCGCTTTTGTAATCCTTCCTTCTTGGCACACCTTAGCAACTCATTCTCAAACGAGTGATTTTAAAATACACTGCTGTGGTGCGATACTTATTATAGCTGAATTTCCTCTAGCCACAACAAAGGATGAATCGATTTCGACATCACGACTTCCATCATGTCAACTTCAAACGAGGATGTTTTGACATGACACTTCCCCTCCACCCATTTCTGACAGCGATAGATTCAACGCTTGTCACAAACCACACCGCCATTTCCAAAGCACAGCACTTGCATCGCGTGGCGAGTCGCGACGCAGTACCAGACGTCAATGACGAAGGTCGGTAAGACTGAGGTGACGTCCGTCCGTACCGGTCTGCTGTCCACACTCCCACCCATGGAGCTCCGAATCGGTATAAACGTCTTCATGCAAGTACCACCTTCTCGATCAACTCCTGCCGAATTTGGCAGCTTCTACCAGATTCCTCGCCGCCGAACTTCTTAATTCTCGTCAGTCGCCAGTCGTCTACCTTGATCTCTCAACGATGGAGCGGCCGGCGTTCTCGCTGCTCGTGGTCCTCTCGTGTGCGTCGCTCCTATGGATCCTCGGCAACGCGCAGATTGCCGCTGCTGCGGCGATGCCTCCCGTTAGATGCACGAATGGATCCACTATCGGCATGTGCACGATTAATAACGCGTACGGCGTCAACATGGATGGGAGGCCCTGCCAGTAAGTAGAGCCGGTTTCATCCTAATATTTTGTAGGTGTTTTCATTTATTCATTCGTTTGCAGACGGTTTTCGTGAACTCCTGTCATATCACCTCGTTTCATTATCGCTTCCTCACTTCCTTTCATCCCTCTAATCTCCTTACTCTTCAGGCTTGGCAGGGTGTTTTACCCGCGGACCGAGGACGAGTTGATCAGTGCTGTCGCCTACGCAAGCCAGAACAACCTTCAGGTCCGCCTCTCCCATCCACCCACCCTACAAGCTGCCAATTGGCTTCATACAATAGTCATGAAATATAGCTTTACTCCATTTACTATGTTCTGAAAATAATATTTTGATTGATTTCATTACTTTCCTCGTGTTACAGGTGAAGGTGGCGAGTGCAACGGTGCACACCATACCCAAGTGGTTCTGCCCTGGCGGTAACAGCGGGGTTTCCATTATCACGCGTGACTATAATGGGATCTCCATTGACAGGGAGGCCATGACGGCCACTGTGGATGCAGGAGTCATGGTGAGTCGGTGCATGCATGGTATGTGATGTGTGGTGTTGCATGGTATGGCATGGCATGGTATCGTGGGGATCTCCATTGACAGGGATGCCATGACGGCCACTGTGGATGCAGGAGTCATGGTGCATGGCATGGCATGGCATGGCATGGCATGGTCGGAATGTCGTTTTTGCTCTTCCACTTTTCACATGTTGTCTCCTGCTTCACAAATCACATCGCATCTCCATTGGTTTCCGCTCCATCACTCAACCATCATCTCCCGTGTCCCCTTCTCCCTCTACCTTTTCGTCCCCTCTATTGACTTCCCCGTTACTATCCCCAGCTGGATGATTTCTTCGCATACCTGGCGGATCACAACCTCACCTTCCCCACCGCCCCCTACTGGGCAGGTAAGCTCAGAATAATACTCATGCTAGTGACAGGGATTCAATTGATCTCTTGGTTATGCACTTGCTGTTCAGATTTTTTCTTATCCGTGTGTATGATTGATCAGTACACTGTACTGTACTGTACATCTCAACTCTTACGCGTAATCTCACTCACTCCTCTTTTCCTGTTCTATTGGATTCATCAGGTGCCTCTGTGATCGGCGCCATAGGCACCGGTTCCCACGGCAGCACTTTGCAGTTCAAGGGTGGGCGCATGGGAGAATACGTGAGGGGGGTGCGGGTGGTGGTGGCAGCAGATGAGGCGAGTGGGTGGGTGGGGGTGAGGGAGGTGAGCAGAGGAGACGAGCTGCTGGCTGCTCGCCTGCACCTGGGGCTGCTCGGAGCCATTTCCAAGATGACCCTCGAGGTCTACCCCATGTGGAAACGCGAAGTCACCTATTACAACACCAGGTGAAGCTCCTTCTATCCCGTTCCATCATCACCCGTTTACCCGTACCACCACACCACATGAGAATTTCCAATGTCTGGGGTTTCTTAACTCTCCTCCTCCGCCCCGCCTCGCTCCCTTCCCCTCCTGCCCCACCTTCCCCTTCCTCCTTCACCATCACCTCACCCAATGTTTCCCGCCCCATCCATGTCCTTTCCTCTCGTCAACCTCGTTACTTACTACCTGCCTGGTTACACTCCCACCCTTACGCATCTCTGGATCTATTCTGTGGGCCCCTCTCTGCCCTACCCTCCCCTGACTGCCCCGCTCTCCCCTCACTTCCCCGCTCTCCCGTCACTTCCCCGCTCTCCCCTGACTGCCCCGCTCTCCCCTCACTGCCCCGCTCTCCCCTCACTGCCCCGCTCTCCCCTCACTGCCCCGCTCTCCCCTCACTTCTCCACCCATTCTCATTCCACAGCGATGCAAATCTGGAGAACGAGATTCTCTCATTCGCGCGCAATACAACCTTCCCGGATCTCAACTGGTATCCCGCCGCACAGAGGTGAGTCCTTCTGGTGGTCCCTCTGCTGTACCCTTGCTGCCCCTCACTATTTTTGAGGCGCCTAAAATGTCACGCAATACAGCCTTCCCGGATCTGAACTGGTATCCGGCCGCCAAATGGTGAGTCCTGCCCCTCACGCCTCACTGCTCCCTCACACGCCTCTTCTCCCTCACACACCTCTTCTCCCTCACACACCTCTTCTCCCTCACACGCCTCTTCTCCCTCACACGCCTCTTCTCCCTCACACGCCTCTTCTCCCTCACACGCCTCTTCTCCCTCACACACCTCTTCTCCCTCACACACCTCTTCTCCCTCAAACGCCACGACTCTTTCTCAATCACATCCCTCTCTTGCCTCTCAGTGTCTTACGCTCCTGGTTTCTACACCCCCCTTTATCCAGTCCTCCCCATCCACTCTTCCGCCTGGTCCCACGTCAGTGTGTTTTGTTGGCGGAGGGACAACATGGTGCCTGTCTCCCGCCCCGGTACCGGCTCCTATGCCCTGCCCCTGCCCCTGCCATTGTGTTATAGTCCCCACATACTCACCCGTCTGACCTCACATGCTATCCCTTGTCACCAGTGTGTTCTGGCGGAGGGACAACATGGTGCCTGTCTCCCGCCCCGGTACCGGCTCCTATGCCCTGCCCCTGCCCCTGCCATTGTGTTATAGTCCCCACATACTCACCCGTCTGACCTCACATGCTATCCCTTGTCACCAGTGTGTTCTGGCGGAGGGACAACATGGTGCCTGTCTCCCGCCCCGGTACCGGCTCCTATGCCCTGCCCCTGCCCCTGCCATTGTGTTATAGTCCCCACATACTCACCCGTCTGACCTCACATGCTATCCCTTGTCACCAGTGTGTTCTGGCGGAGGGACAACATGGTGCCTGTCTCCCGCCCCGGTACCGGCTCCTATGCCCTGCCCCTGCCCCTGCCATTGTGTTATAGTCCCCACATACTCACCCGTCTGACCTCACATGCTATCCCTTGTCACCAGTGTGTTCTGGCGGAGGGACAACATGGTGCCTGTCTCCCGCCCCGGTACCGGCTCCTATGCCCTGCCCCTGCCCCTGCCATTGTGTTATAGTCCCCACATACTCACCCGTCTGACCTCACATGCTATCCCTTGTCACCAGTGTGTTCTGGCGGAGGGACAACATGGTGCCTGTCTCCCGCCCCGGTACCGGCTCCTATGCCCTGCCCCTGCCCCTGCCATTGTGTTATAGTCCCCACATACTCACCCGTCTGACCTCACATGCTATCCCTTGTCACCAGTGTGTTCTGGCGGAGGGACAACATGGTGCCTGTCTCCCGCCCCGGTACCGGCTCCTATGCCCTGCCCCTGCCCCTGCCATTGTGTTATAGTCCCCACATACTCACCCGTCTGACCTCACATGCTATCCCTTGTCACCAGTGTGTTCTGGCGGAGGGACAACATGGTGCCTGTCTCCCGCCCCGGTACCGGCTCCTATGCCCTGCCCCTGCCCCTGCCATTGTGTTATAGTCCCCACATACTCACCCGTCTGACCTCACATGCTATCCCTTGTCACCAGTGTGTTCTGGCGGAGGGACAACATGGTGCCTGTCTCCCGCCCCGGCACCGGCTCCTACGCCCTGCCCATCTTCCGAGGCCAGTTCGACTACATCTGGACCGCCCTCGCTGCCCTCGGTGCGTATGGCCTCTCAATCTCTCGGTTGCGTCTCAACTCACAGGGGGTTAGGGGCCCTCAGGCTCCTACGCCCTGCCCATCTTTCGGGGCCAGTTTGACTACATCTGGACCGCCCTCGCTGCCCTTGGTGTGTGCTTCCTTATCTGCCAGGTGTTGCTGGTGCCCGTGCCTGCAAGCATACAAGCTCTTATGTGTCCTGTGCTGTGCAGTCCCCATCTTCCAGCCCCAGTTGCATAGACTCCCCGCCTCTTCAGCATCCGGCACTTATACAAACAGGCAGTTGATCCATTCTGTATTTTGCTTCTCACTTCTCCTTTCCCGTGCCTTCCTGTTACATGTCATTCTTCAAACCCACTCTCTCACATTATCCAAACTTTCCTTCTCCCTTCGTTCCTCCCTCCCCCCTCTGCCCCCCTTTCCCTTTTTCCTTCCCTTGTCTGTCAACTCGTGTTTTGCTCAATCAAAAACACCCAATTTCAGATCATCGCACACAGACCTCAACCAACGAGCAGGACATTTGCAACCTGTGGCAGACCGTGCAGGTACGAGTTGACTTGAGTTGACTCAATCGACCAGTAAAATCTTTTCCACGTCGAGTCTTTCCGGCATGCCTCGTTACATTCTTTCAGATGACTATCCCACTCAGACATTCGGAATATTTACCCTAGCTGCACCACTCTCGTTTGCCTGCATCCGTCCCGGCCCAGGATCTCATGGGTACTACATGTACCCATCTCAACCCCAACACCAGGTTCCTGTGCTCCTGAACCTGGGGGGTGGCTTCACCAACGATGGCACACTCTTCAGGGGCTTCCCTGTTGGTGAGACTTCTAATTTAGCTGATTTGTGAGACTTCTTCTCTGTAGTGCGCCCTCATCACTTCTTCCCCCGCCCCTCCTCTACCCTTCTCACCCAACCATCCTCCCAGTGGGTTACCACAACCGCTTCCAGACGTCCTCAGGCTGTGAGGACGCAGGGAAAACTCCTCTGGGCCGCCAGGTGTGCCCATGGTACCCGCGGATCAAACCAGCCCTCCCTTTCTTTGTCACCCTCCCCCTCCCTGCCTCACATTCACCTGCTCTCCCAGTGGGCTACCACAACCGCTTCCAGACATCGTCAGGCTGTGAGGACGCAGGGCGCACTCCCCTGGGCCGCCAGGTTCCTTGGGAGGGGACCCGCCAGCCTCACCCTCCCTTTCCCCTCTCCCATTCTCCAATTCTCCCACCCTCCCAGTGGGCTGCCACAACCGCTTCCAGACGTCCTCAGGCTGTGAGGACGCTGGTACCTCCTAAAGTCACCCCCATTTCCCATATAACTCCTTCACCCCCTTCCCCTCCTCTCCCTTCCCCTCTCCCATCCTCCCAGTGGGCTATCACAATCGCTTCCAGACGTCCTCAGGCTGTGAGGACGCGGGTACCTTCTAAAGTCACCCCCATTTCCCATATAACCCCTTCACCCCCTTCCCCGATTCTCCCATCCTCCCAGTGGGCTATCACAATCGCTTCCAGACGTTCTCTGGGTGTGAGGACGCGGGGCGAACCCCCCTGGGCCGCCAGGTGTGCCCGTGGGACCCACGCATCAACGGGATCCGTTTCTACGAGACCACATTCCTCATCCCGCTCACCAAGCTCAAAGGTGCGAACTATCAATGATACGTCTCAGACGTACGGTGCTCAGGTGTGCGCGTGGGACCCGCGCATCAACGGGGTTCGATTCTACGAGACCACATTCCTCATCCCACTCACCAAGCTCAAAGGTGAGACTGATAATGCTCATGTCAAGTCACGGTGCAGTGTGCACCTTGTGCCCGTGCAACCCGCGGATCAACAGCTTTCGATTCTAGGAAACCACCTTCCTCATCCCACTCACCAAGTTGAAAGGTGGGTACCTTACTAAAAGCGTCAATTGTGAGGAAGAGACCTCATCCGCTTGCAACCTCCTGCTTCAGCAGTTTTGCACTATTTCCTGGAATAAATGGAACACTCTCATGTTCCTCTTATATCTAGTCCTCCTCTTTCCCTCTTCCGCTCCCTTCCTCTCTCCCCCCCTCTGTACCTGAACCCCTTACAGAGTTCATCCTTACCATCAAGGAGCTCGCAGTAGCCCGACGTCTTGGCTTCTGCGGCCTGGCCAACTACGGAGGGATCTTCTTCCGCTTCATCCGGGGTTCCGACACTCTGCTGGGCTCAACAGAGGACTCTGTGATGGTCGATATTCAGTACTTCCGCAGCAATGACCCGTCCCAGCCACGCACCAGCCAGGTGCGATCCCTCCCCCTAAGCCTGGTGTATTCTATATAAAGGGTCATCCGGGGTTCCGACACTCTGCTGGGCTCAACAGAGGACTCTGTGATGGTTGATATTCAGTACTACCGCAGTCACGACCCGTCCCAGCCCCGCACCAGCCAGGTACGCTGTCTCTGTAGCCCAACGTGTGCTGGGCTGTATGTATGTAGGCTCGTGAAGAGTGAAGAGCCCCGACACCCTGCTGCCGACCACAGAGGACTCTGTGATGGTCGATATTCAGTACCACCGCAGCAATGACCCGTCCCAGCCACGCACCAGCCAGGTAAGGCGTTTATGGCCAGGGTGTTTCTTATGCACGAATGGGCCTCTGCTTGGGTTCACAGAGCACTCTGTGATGGTTGACATTCAGTACTTCTGCAGCGAGGGGCTGATCATGGGGAGGAGGTTCAACGGCAAGACTCCTGCCCTGCTGCGCCCTTTCCAGGCTCTGGTGCCGAAGCTTTCCTTCTTGCTACCATCTTCCCTGCCGCTCCGCGTCTCTCCGTTTTACCCCCAATGTGCAGGATGTGACGGATGAGTATGAGCAGATCATAGGGAAGATGTTCAACGGCAAGCCTCTGGGGAACTGAGGAATCACCCCGTGCAATTACTTTTCCCTTTACCCTTGATTTCAATGCCCCGACCCAATGTGCAGGATGTGACTGACGAGTATGAGCAGATCATAGGGAAGATGTTTAACGGCAAGCCGCACTGGGGAAAGAACAAGGATGTTTCCTTCATTGACGTTCCCAGCAAGTACCCCCATCTTCCTCGCTTCCTCAAAGTCAGGTGCGGCTGGTTACCAGTTACTCGATTTTTGTTTGTGACCATAATTTCCTTGATTATGCACTGCACTCGCACTTCTTATTCTGACTTCTTACACATGCTCGTATGCTGTGGCATCATGCAGGGAGGCGTTTGATCCAAGGGGTCTCTTTCTCAACGAGTGGGCGAAGCGAGTGCTGGGTCTGTCACAGCAGCCGGTGCAGGTGTATGGCGATCAGTGCGCCATGCGGGGCCTCTGCCACTGCGCTGCTGACGTGCACTGCAACCCTGCCCTCGGGTCTTACTGTAGGCGTGGGCTGATTTACACTGATGCTACAGTGTGCAAGACACAGTAAGCTATAGACATGTATGCATACAGCATATGATATTGATTAAACTGTGAACTTCTTGTTGTAACGAGTCGGCTCTTGAGTGAAGTGAGTGCTGGACCTGGTGTTGGGCCTGTCAAAGGAGCCGGTGCAGGTGCATGGTGATCAGTGCGCCATGAGGGGTCTCATCAGTCACTGCGCTGCTGACATGCACTGCAACCCCACCCCGCGCTCAGGGGAAGTACACAACACTTGCAGCTTACCGTATGTAGATCAGTTTATGATTCAAGGTGTCTCCCATCAATGACATTCTCCACCTCAGTAGAGGTTAGATCTTATGAAAAATGTTGAACATAGATTTAATAAATCAAATGCACTTCCAATCCAACACAAAACCAGCTGGATAAAAAGAAACACCGTAACATTCTCCTCTCAAGAGGTAATGTGTGCCACGCGTGCCAGCCAGTTGAAGTGCAAGAACCACTCCCCCAGAGGAAAAACAACAAAATCAGGAAATGAAACGAAAAGGGAAAGGAACAAGCCCAGCATGAATGCTTGGGCAAGAAAAGAGATCAAACCCCAAAAAAAATCACAGAGCAGACTATGGGGCACTCGACGAAACCCTGACACGCTGTGTGCATGACAAGGCTAAAAACTTGCAGTGTTGCAAGTGGGATCATTTATCAGCAGCAGCAGCAGCAGAGCTGCATAAGTCCATGGCAGGGATGGGTTGGCGCATGGTGAGATCATCCATCAGCAGGAGCAGTAGTGTTGCATGGGTCCATGGTAGTAGGGATGGGCGTGCGCATGGAGACGCAGATTTTAGGGGAGGGAGAGAGGTGGAGGGCGAGGCTGTGCAGCTGAGAGGAGAAAGCGTTGGGCATGTCAGGCGACAGGGAGATCTGCACGGGGAAAGGGGTGTGAAGAGAAAAAAAGTGTGAGAATAACGAGGACTGTACAAATTGTGAAGGTTATGAGAACGTGGCAGGGAGAGACATGGCCGGAAGGCATGTGCAAGGGGGGGGATATGTGGCGGGGGGGCGTGTGGTTAAAGCCACAACGGCACAAGGCGTGATGATGGAGGACACAAGGCACAACCGGCAAAATGCACAGCCGACTCACCTCAAACTGGTGAAGCAGCAACGCCACAACTGCACGCACGATCTTGAAGGAGAATCGCAGCCCCACGCACGACCGCGGCCCGCCTCCGAACACGAGGAAACGCTCCCCCTGCTCTGGCGGCACACACTCATAATCCCTCCCCGGAAGCAACCCCTCCCTCCACTGCTCCCTTTCCTCGCCTTCCCTCTCTCCCGTCAGCTCTACATCTTCTCCCTTGTCTCTCTTGCCTCTTTTGCCTTCCTTCCCTTCCCTCCCTCGCTTGCCTTCCTTCCCGTCCTGTTCACCACTGTTGCTCCGCTCATGCTGCCTGCGGAACCGAATGAAGCGCTCAGGGCGGAACTCCAACGCGTCGTCGCCCCAAAACGAGGGGTCCGTTTGCAGGAGATGCATGGGCAGCGCCAAAACGGTCCCAGACGGAACCGAAAGAAACCGCGTGTTGTCACCATCCCCACCGCTCTTCACCCCTTCATGGACATCCCCGTGCATTTCCCCACGCGAAGAGCCCTCGCTAGCAGAACGAAACCCTCCGTCGCTGCTGCTACCAAGCTGGGGTGACGGAAAGACAGGCAGACGTATATTTTCCGAGAGCGCGGATCTAGTGACCAGAGGCTGACACGGCATTAAGCGGGACGTCTCGTATATAACCGCGTTCAGAAAGGCCAGCTTCTGCAAATCCTCGTCAGTAGGCGACCCGCCATTCGCTACAGCGCGGATTTCCTGTACGACTTTGTCTTGTATATCGGGGTGCGCGGCGAGCGCAACGAGGACTCGCTCCAACAGCCCCGGAACCGAGAGATGACCGTGAAGCATGAGGGAAGCAGCTTCGGCCAATGCTGTCGCCTCGTTATAAAGAGGTTGCCCATAACGGGACCGTTCCGACAGCATGGCCGAGAGAAAACCCTCGTGAGGCGCTTCTGGCGCCCTGACTTGGTCTCTGGGTGAAATGGCGGGAACGGCACCGGGACCAGCAGCAGCATCAACAGCAGAACCGGTGTTGACGCTGGAAACAAGACCAACACCACTAGAAGCACCATCAGCAGCGGCAGCGACAGGGCTCTGTTCAGCTTCATTTCCTTCGCATCCGGAGTTTCCCACATTGGAGCCTCTGCTGCTGAAATTGGCAACGCCAACGTCGGGTAACCCGCACTTGACGCCCTCGCATTCGCCTGACATGAGTCTTCGCATAGCTTCGCGAAACTCGTCGCAAATGCGGGAAAACTGCCAATACGACGGAAGCCAGAACGGCTCGACTGGAAACCGCGAAAACGTCTGCGCGCCTGCAGCTACCTTCTCCAATAAAACCTGTAAGCGAGCGTGGATCCTCGACATAGGAAACCCGCTACCAAAAAGAGAACCGCCGAGTACACCAACGGCCATATCCCTAGCTACACCACCCACGTCAATCTCCCCGCCAGACTCGGCGACGGACGTCCAGTGGCGTGACGCCATGTGAACGACGGTTGACGTCACCTCGTGAACCTGAAACTTGAGCGTGGTATGGCAGTGGTAATCTAAGAAGGATCTGCGATCCCGCGGCTGCATGAGGGACGAGAAGCGAGTGGAATCCGCTCCTAGGCAGCGAGCCATGATTCGGCTGAAGGCAGGCGGTCGTTCAAGAGCTCGCATAAGCACCTTGCGAACCTGCGTCGGGTCGCGAATCGATATAAGCAGCTTCGTCGGGCTCATCCAGAGCCTTACAACGGGACCGTACTCCGAGTGAAGCCTTGCAATAAGGTCTGGAAAAGGAGAGCACGAAAATGTGTTGAGATGTTAAAACGGCTACACGGCAGGATATGGTTCCAGATAAAGAAAACGCAAGAGACGGTACGAATAATTGCGACGCCAGCAAGCGCGAGAAACGGAACGAATAAATGACACGCTAAGAAAAGCGTACCGGTGATGCTTCCAGCTCCCGAGAGCTCTGCCGTGTTTCCCCAGAGGGGGTGACCCTTGGGACCAGGAAATTGATTTCCGCGCCGCCATAGAGAGACGTAGGCGAGAAGCCAGTGCAGCAGCCATCCCGTGAAACCGATAAGAAGACACCAGATGAAAGCGTTGACTTGACCAGGTGATAAGTTCACCTGCATAGGGGGAGGACGAAAAAACAAAGGTGGATTTGAATATACCGTTAAAACAGATTTTCAACGAGACTGTTAATACTCCTGTACGATGCGATGGAGACATATACATCAGAAACTCGCGAACGAAGCAATTCTTAGAGATTATCCAAAGACGTACTTGTTTCCTATGAGCCAATAGATAAGCGTTCACATCTACCGAACCAGATACGTTAGGCGGATACGGCTGGAAAAAGTCTGCCTCGTCGAAAGACATCCTAACCTCCATCACCATGGCGGATGAATCAGGAGGAAAAAATAACATACCATGGCAGGTTGAGCTGAAATAGCGAGAGTTGCACCAGCCGTAGCTCCCAGAGGGAACTCCTCGAAAATTTCTCCCTCGGGTTCCTAAAGACTGACTGGACGGTGGAACCGGAGTCGATAGGAAAGAAAACCAATCCCCATTCCCTAGAGTTCGGAAAACGAATTTACAGCGCCGATGTGGACAGTCGGCAAAGAAGGAAGGCGGATTGACCCGGTACAAAATCGAGTTTCTATTGTGATACGGAGCAGGTATACCAGGTTACCAGGATGCAATTGTCGCTCATCTCTGTCAAGTGCGTCACTACCGGCCATTATCTCCAATACTCAAATTTCGCCTGAGCGCGTTCTCAGGTGTAATCACCAACAGAATCATGGTTCCGCGATATAGTGGGAAGATTTTATAATTTTTTCTCGTATACAGTCACTCAAAAGAAATAATTCCAGCGCTTGCGAAAATATAAATATAAAACCCGTAGCGAACCTAGATGATTTCCGGGAAGGATCAACCCTAAATACCGAAAGCCGCCCAATATTCTGGAAAACATATTGCAACCCACTTGACAAAAAAAAAAAAAAAAAAAAAACCCACTCGGGAGGCATCAACCCCCAAAACAATGCCAATTCCCGTGTTCAGGGTTGATCCCTCTCGAAAATGCATCCTGGTTCCCTAGGGGTTTTATTGTTTTCTGCCATTCCCGAATAGTTCTCGGTAGCGTTGTCTAGTGCTTTCGGTAGCGTTGTTTAGCGGTCGGTTGCGCTACCGAGCACTACCAAGTGAATTATATGGCCTTCATTCTCTTACTACCTAAATTTCCGTACTTATATCCAATTCGGGAGGGTTAACTGGATGGTTCTGTTTTTGTCACTTCCTAATGAGTTCGACCAGCGTGAGAAATGTGACTATAAAGCGACGACCAATCAACGTTGAGAAATTCCAGATTGATTACACCTGAAAACGTGCTCAGGCAAAATCTGAGTCTTGGAGATAATGGCCGCGTCACTACGGTCCGTGAAGTGCAGGATCATCGGATAATTCGTTGCCTTCGAGAAGTCACGCATGGCATCGCTCATGAGCTGGGACACCTTTGCTGACAGAATACTCCCTGATATCGGCGTAGGGTGTGACGAGTGGCGATGGGGGGACTGCAGTGGACGGAAGGGGAGTGATGCGGCGATCAATGCAGCGATCTGCAATCTTTGGGGACACGGGGAAGGGATTGTTGACGTGCGGAGGCTTGGAAATCAGGGCAGATGCGAAGCAAATTTTATCCAGAGGATCATCCCTGTTTGGGGTCTGGGCATGGAAGATGACGGTCAGGTAAGGTAGGGAAGGACGGCCTCAGGGTGTGTTTCAATCCCGTGACAGACATCAAGTCATGCGGCCTTAGTCTCCAATTTGTCTCTTCCGAACTTCCAATCGCCCCAACAACGAGCCACTTCGGGTCTTCCGAGCTTCCGCTTCGTGTCAAACCTAATGTCTGACACGGGATAGAAACGCCCCCTCATTCAAAGAAGGAATCTGGTGGACGCACATCGGCCTCATTGGGGCTTGCTGGGTGGGGTGGGGAAGAACGGAGTGAAGTGGCTTGGGTGGAGTCAATTCTGGACCTGGAGCAGGGCTGTCGATTGGTCTGGGTCCAACCCGTAAGAAGTTGAGCTGTCTCGAAAACAACCCTGAGCTATCCGGGAAGCGGTCGTAAAATCAGGGCATTCATATTTCCGGCTCTGAGAATGCATGCGTAATAAAGCTAAGTTATCGAGCTATACATACACTAAAGAGCAGCATACGTTAGTGGAACGTGGGGGGCTGGTGTTGTTGGGAGGAGTGGGAGAGGAACAAGTTCGCGGTCTAAGGTAGGAAGAGAGGGGGGGAGGGGAAGGGGGGTGGCAGGTACGGAAATCCGGGGAGCCCCAAAATCTGTCCGTTAGAAATCCGGGCTGGGGAAAAAACCAGCCCTGAAAATCTCCGAGCTGAGCTGAAACTAACCCTGATTTCTCAGGGAAAACGGACAAATGTCCGTGAATCGACAGGCATGACCTGGAGTCAGCCCAAACCAAACAGGATTTGTGCTTGAAACGAGCTTTGGGCTGGAGAGTGCGTCTGTCGGGGTCAGGTCAGGGGTGTCAAAATTCTTTGACGATTCGGAGTCCTGATTCCCGAATCACAACAAATTCCCGACAGCACGATTTGGTTTGCAGGTCCGTGCCCCCACGTGGGACTTTCAGGAGCCAATCAAGGTTGTTCTACACACGTGGGACGTGCATGCATAATCGACAACTACTTCCTCAGCAGAGTGTGCCCCGTTGCAGTGCCATTACCACCTTATCTTAAAGTCCCGATACATATCAGACACAAGAGTACACCAGTGTACCCCAGTAGGCGTGCAGAGCACGCAAGTGCAATCAAAATGGTGTGAAGTACGATTATTGGTAAGTGTTATAAAACTGTGTTACATGCTGTTGAAGGTCTAGGCAGTTATGTACATAGTACGTATTAATGCTAGTAAGCTTATCATTTTTCTGCTTCCGCGGAGCCATTTTCATGCTTATGTGCAGCACGCAGCGTATCGCTAACGAACGCAGCACCATCAGAACAAGGTGGTCTCCCCGTGAGCTTCTGTCTCTTGTGCATGGCCTCATCCCTCTCCACCACATTCTGAGTAATGGCATTAAGAGATCGAGAGGAACACAAAGACGGGAGGGAAGGAGGGAAAAAGAGAGTGAGAGAAGCAATGTCTCCCTGTGAGCCTCTCTCCCGTGTGCATGGCCTCATCCCTCTCCACCACATTCTGAGTAATGGCATTGAGAGATCGAGAGCAGCACAGGGAGGCAGGGCAGAGGGAAGGGAGGACAGGAGGGACATGGAAGAAGAAGGGTATGTATGTATGGGGACAACGATGGGGGCATGTGCATGCTACCAGTAACCAGTATGTTGGGGAGGCCGCTTTTTGAGTCAACTCAAAAGCAGAAAAAGATGGGGGCATGCGCATGCTACCAGTAACCAGCATGTTGGGGAGGGAGTGCGAGTGAGAGAGTCAAAACCTGTGCCAAAAAAAGGAGACAGACAACCCCTATGCTATGCAGTCCAGTTTGTACTCGTTACAAGCTTCCTCAAAAGACGAACGTGGCCATCCTCTCACTCCTGCGGGGTCGAGCCTATTAATGGTGACAACATGGCGTGAAAGGCTCAGTTTGTACTCGTCGGGTTCATGCTCAAAATACCGCTGTTGCCACTCAGCACTGCTCTCACCTGAGCGGGTGTCAACATGTGTAAGACAGCCACATGCCTCGAGAGGTTGACTTTGTATGCGAGGCGCTGGGAGCAGCCTGGGAGTATTTGCACTCACTCTAACGCTCCCCAACACACACCACAGTCACCACTGCGTTCACCTGTGCAGGCGTTAGCATGTGCATGGCTGCCACGTGGCGTGAGAAGTTCACTTTGTATGCGAAGCGCTGGGAGCAGCCAGGGAGTGTGGCTGCAATCAGTATAAGGCTCCCTAACACTAGCACGTGCTCTCACCTGTGTGGGTGTGAGTGCGTGAATGGCTGCCACGTGGCGTGAAAGGTTGACTTTGTATTCAAAGCACTGGGAGCAGCCTGCGAGTATTTGCACTCACTCTAACGCTCCCCAACACACCACACAGTCAGCATTGCTCTCACCTGTGCGGGAGTGAGGACGTGTATGGCGACCACGTGGCGTGAGAGGTTGACTTTGTATGCCAAGCGCTGGGAGCAGCCTGGGAGTTGAAAGCTCCTGTGCACATACCACAGTCAGCACTGCTCTCACTCTCACCTGTGCGGGTGTCATCTCGTGTATGGCTGCAATATGCCGTGAGAGGTTGACTTTGTATGCAAAGCGCTGGGAGCAGCCTGCGAGTGAGGCTGCATTCGGTCTAAGGCTCACTGCTCACTGCTCTCACCTGTGCGGGTGTCATCTCGTGTATGGCTGCAATATGCCGTGAGAGGTTGACTTTGTATGCAAAGCGCTGGGAGCAGCCTGCGAGTGAGGCTGCATTCGGTCTAAGGCTCACTGCTCACTGCTCTCACCTGTGCGGGTGTCATCTCGTGTATGGCTGCAATATGCCGTGAGAGGTTGACTTTGTATGCAAAGCGCTGGGAGCAGCCTGGCACGGAGCAGGCAAAGGGGCGGTCCTTCTGGTGGCATGCCCTAATGTGCGTTCTCAGGTTGCTGGGCTGCTCTGAGAAGGAGGGGGGGAAGAAAGGGAGAGGAGGGAGAGTAGGAAGAGGGCCATGCAATAAGTGAGCTTGTAAAAGGGCGGTCCTTCTGGTGACACGCCCTGATGTGCGCCCTCGGGTTGCTGGGCTGCTCTGAGGAGGAGGGCGGGGAAAGGGAGAAAGAAAGGGAGGGTAGGGAGACGTTCACTTGGTACGTGAAGAGCTGACAGCAGCCTGGGGCCGAGCCTATTTTTGAGTCGACTCAAAAACTGACAGCAGCCTAGGGCCGAGCAGGCAAAGGGAGGATTGTGCTGGTGGCACAATTGTGGCACTCCCTGTTGTGCGCCCTCAGGGTGCCGTGTTGCATGGTGAAGGGAGGGAGCAGCAGGTGTTTTAAGCGGGGATCACAGCATCAGCAGTCTAGGCGAATCACAGAGCTGAACGCCTTGCTGCACCCATCCACCTTGCACGGGTGGGATGGTCGTTGCTCCAGCTCATGCTGCTCCTTCAAATGACGCTTGAAACTGGAAAAGGATATGCGATTGGTACGGCGGGGGCTCGGCAGGGAGAGGGACTCACAGAGCTGAACGCCTTGCTGCACCCATCCACCTTGCATGGGTGGGATGGTCGTTGCTCCACCTCATGCTGCTCCTTCAAATGGCGCTTGAAGCGAGAGAAAGAGACGCGCTTGTTGCAGTGCTGGCATGGCACGGAGCGGTGCTGCTGCTGTGTGTGCTGCTCCAAGGCAGGGAGGGACGGGAAGGCAGCAAAGCAGAAGCCACATATGGCCCCATCTGCTCCCTCTGCTGCGCCATCCGTGCCCTCCCCTGCTGCTGCTGCTGCTGCTGCTGCTGCAGCTGTACTTTCTGCTGCTGCATCCCCGTCACTTGATGCTGATGTGTCGCCCTCTCCTTCGCTCCCTGTCGAAGCTCCTTCCCCTTCTGCGTGCCTTGCCTCAGTGCCTTCACATGGTCCCTTCCTTGACTTGCCTTCTCCCAATGCCTCCAGCTTCCTCTCCCTTGTCTTGCCATCTCGTTCCTTACACTTTACCAGCTTTCCTGCCGCCATCTCCTTGCTTCTCACCACATGCTTATCTCTCACCACGTCCTTATCACACCACCTCCTTCGCTTCCAGCTCATCATCCCAGCCTGCTTGTACTTCCTTACCCCCTCTGACGCCACTTCTGATGCCATTGCTCCTTTGCCAACCTCCACCTTCCCCTGACCCGCTCCCCTTCCCTCCTCTCCTCGCATCAACTTTTGAGGCGCCTCACAACCACCCCCTGACGCCACAGCTCCTGTACCAACCGCCACTTCTGATGCCATTGCTCCTTTGCCAACCTCCACCTTCCCCTCACCCCCTCCCCCTCCTTCTCCTCGCATCGCCACCTCCACTTCCCTCACGCCTTCCCTTATCCTCCCATCAGCACCCTCACCAGCCACACCACCAGCCACACCACCAGCCACACAACCAGTCCCCCCACCGCCCACACTCGTACCAACGGTCGCCATTGCATCGGCATCGGTTGCCACCTCATCAACAGCTTCTGCCACATCACCATCAGCTGCTGTAATATCACCATCGCCACCTGCCACATCACAAACAGCCACTTCTGCATCACCATCAGTTGCTGCCACATCAGCACGAGCTGCCACGTCAGCATCAGCTGCCGCCACACCACCACCAGTCGTCCCCACAGCAGCACCAGAGCTTAAGCATACTGCATCTTGCAGCAGTAGCAACCCATTCCCCCCCACGTGCTTCCCCCTCAGGTGCCCCCTCAGGTGTCCTCCCAGGTGCTCTTCCCCCAGGTGCTCCCCGCTCAGGTGTTCCCCCAGGTGCTGCTCTTGCCTTGCTAATTGCTCCTCTCGTTGCCTCAGATCCTCGTTCTGTTGTTTCAGGTGCTCCCTCTGTTGTCTCAGGTGCTCCTGCTGCCGCCTCAGAAAATCCTCCTCCTCCTTTAGGAGAATCTCCTTCCTCCTCAAGTGCTCCTTTATTGCCCTCAGCTGTTCCTTCTGTTGGTTCAGGTGATTTTTCATCTCCATACCAGGCTGCTCCTTCTCCTTCAGGTGCTTCTCCAGGCGATCCTCACCAACCTCCAGGTGTTTCTTCAGGTGCTGCTTCTGTTGCTGCAGGTGGCCCTGCATCCCTTGCACCGCCCCTTCTCTCCCATTGGTCGCAAGGATCTCTCTGTTATCCTCCACGTCAGCAGATTCTTGCCTGTCTGCTTCAGCAGCATCAAACAATTCAGCATCACACATTTGAGTGTCAAACCGCTTCTCACCACTCCCCATCACACTCAAACCCTTTCCAGCCCCTTCATCACCCCTTCTCTCCTCCTGCTCGCCTTCTCTCTTCTGATTTCCCCCTCCTCTCCTTTCCCCCTCTGCTGCGATCCTCTCCTCCTCACCTCCTCTCTTCTCGTCTCCACCTCTCTTTTCCTCCTCCCTCTCCTCCTCCCCTCCTCTCCCCTCGTCTCCACCTCTCCTTTCCTCCTCCCTCTCCCCCTCCCCTGCTTTCCTCTCCTCCCTTCCTCTCTGCTCCTCCTCCCCTCCTCTCCGCTCCTCATTCCCAGCTATCCCCTCCTTCCCCCCTCCTCCAATCCCTCCTGTTGCTTCTGCTGTCTTCTCAAATTCCTTCTCTTGTGTTTTCTCCTGCGCTTCCTCCTGCGTTTTCTCCTTCGGTTTCTCCTGTATTATTTCCTGTGCTTTCTGCATTTTCTCCTGTGCTTCCTGTGTCTTCCCCTGTGCTTTCTCCTCTGTTTTCTGCTGTCCCTTCTGCTGTCTTCTCTCCTGGACCCCCTCCTTCTCCTGAACCTTATGCTCCGCACCCCCTCCCTTACTCTCTCTCTTCACCCTACACAACCGATCACCAATCCCCCCCTCCTCCTCCTGCTTCCCCTTGCTCTCTCTATTTACTCTATCCAGCCGGTCTCGGATGCCCTCCTCCTCCCAGTGCTGTTCCCTCACGTGCCGCTGCATGCTGGCGTGCAGGCTGAACGTTTGGGTGCACTGTGGGTGCGGACACGGAAACTGGTAGGGTGGGGATGTAGGGGTTGCACAGATGGAGGGAGGCAAGAGAATCAGGAGAACATCAACCTCCCTCCCGTGCCGTTGCTGCTTCGCCTTGATCTCTCTGTTGATTCGATCAAGCCGGTCTCGAATGCCCTCCTCCTCCCAGTGCTGCTCCCTCACGTGCCGCTGCATGCTGGCGTGCAGGCTGAACGTCTTGGTGCACTGCGGGTGTGGGCAGGGGAACTGGGGGGAAGTAGGGAAAGAAAATGGAAGAAGAGGATTGGGGAGGGAGACAGAATCAGGGGAACAGTAGCCTCACGTGTCGCTGCATGCTGGCATGCAGGCTGAATGTTTGGGCGCACTTAGGGTGCGGGCAGGGGAACGGGTGGGGTGGGATGCAGAGGAAGGAGAGGATCGGGAGAGGAGATTGATAAAAGGAACAGCCTCACCTGTCGCAGCATGTCTTATGATGCAAAAACAGGCCCGGTCAGGGGCGTGGGATGGGAGGCTGCATGTGGCGCTGCAGGTGGTACTTCCTTCCTCCTGAATGACGTGAGCCGACTCATATGATTAGGATGGCGTTGGTGGCATGGAAAGGGGAGGAACTTACCTGGTCAGGGGCGTGGGATGGGAGGCTGCAGGTGGTACTTCCTTCCTCCTGAATGACGTGAGCCGACTCATATGATTAGGATGGCGTTGGTGGCATGGAAAGGGGAGGAACTTACCTGGTCAGGGGCGTGGGATGGGAGGCTGCAGGTGGTACTTCCTTCCTCCTGAATGACGTGAGCCGACTCATATGATTAGGATGGCGTTGGTGGCATGGAAAGGGGAGGAACTTACCTGGTCAGGGGCGTGGGATGGGAGGCTGCAGGTGGTACTTCCTTCCTCCTGAATGACGTGAGCCGACTCATATGATTAGGATGGCGTTGGTGGCATGGAAAGGGGAGGAACTTACCTGGTCAGGGGCGTGGGATGGGAGGCTGCAGGTGGTACTTCCTTCCTCCTGAATGACGTGAGCCGACTCATATGATTAGGATGGCGTTGGTGGCATGGAAAGGGGAGGAACTTACCTGGTCAGGGGCGTGGGATGGGAGGCTGCAGGTGGTACTTCCTTCCTCCTGAATGACGTGAGCCGACTCATATGATTAGGATGGCGTTGGTGGCATGGAAAGGGGAGGAACTTACCTGGTCAGGGGCGTGGGATGGGAGGCTGCAGGTGGTACTTCCTTCCTCCTGAATGACGTGAGCCGACTCATATGATTAGGATGGCGTTGGTGGCATGGAAAGGGGAGGAACTTACCTGGTCAGGGGCGTGGGATGGGAGGCTGCAAGTGGTACTTCCTTCCTCCTGAATGACGTGAGCCGACTCATATGATTAGGATGGCGTTGGTGGCATGGAAAGGGGAGGAACTTACCTGGTCAGGGGCGTGGGATGGGAGGCTGCAGGTGGTACTTCCTTCCTCCTGAATGACGTGAGCCGACTCATATGATTAGGATGGCGTTGGTGGCATGGAAAGGGGAGGAACTTACCTGGTCAGGGGCGTGGGATGGGAGGCTGCAGGTGGTACTTCCTTCCTCCTGAATGACGTGAGCCGACTCATATGATTAGGATGGCGTTGGTGGCATGGAAAGGGGAGGAACTTACCTGGTCAGGGGCGTGGGATGGGAGGCTGCAGGTGGTACTTCCTTCCTCCTGAATGATGACACTTGTGAGTCGACTCATATGATTGGGTTGGCATCACTAGCACGGAAAGGGAGGGACTCACCCGGTCGGGAGCATGCGACTGCATGTGGCGCTGCAGGTGGTACTTCCTCCCGAACGCTCTTCTGCAGTCCTCGTGTGGGCACACAAACGACTTCTGCTGTAAGGCAATTGGTGGGGTGGGGTAGCAGGGAGTGGTAGGAAGGCGAGCGAGGGAGGGTGAAGAACCGGAGTGATTGAGTGGGTGAGTGAGTGAGGCCTTCCTAGTCCTCCTCATGCGGACAAAGCCAGCGGACTGAGCATCAATCCCCCTGGAGGGAGTGAATGGCCAAGTGCTGCCTCACATACGATGGCCGGGTGGGTGAGAAACCTTCGGACATTTTACCTAAGCGCCGCTGCTCACTGGAAAATGTCCGAAGATCTGCTAACACTTACGCTTTCTCCAGTATGGCCAAGTGCTGCCTCACATACGATGGCCGGGTGGGTGAGAAACCTAGCATGAGTGCAGGTAAGTGAGTGAGTGTGAGTGAGTGTGAGTGAGTGTGAGTGAGGAGAGTAAGAGCAGCCCACCTGGTTCGCGTGGGTGGCCATGTGTTGTCGCACATATGCCGGTCGAGTGAACGCCATGCCGCACTGCCCACACTCATACCGCTTCTCCTTCGCCTTACACCTCCTTCCCCCCTTGCCCTGCTCCACTTCCTCCTCCTCACTCTCCTCCTCCTCTCCCGAATCCTCCTCTTCCTCTTTCTCCTCTTCTTTCTGGTACTTTGACCTCTTTCTCGCCTCCTTCTCCTTTTCTCCCCCCTGCCTCTCCTTGCGCTTCCTCTTATTCCTCTTGCTCCTGTCCTCCTGTATATCTTCTACCTTTATCTCTTCCACCTCCTCCTCCTCATCCTCATCCTCCTTACCCTCATCATTCCTCTCATTCTCCCTCTCCTCGTGCTTACTCCGCTTTTGTCCCCTCTTTCTGCCCTTCACCTCTTCTTCCCCCACCTTCTTCTCCTCCTCCTTCTCCCCCCCCTCCACCATTTCAATCTCCTCCACCTCTTCACCCTCTTCCTCCTCCCTCTCCCCTCCGTCCTCTCCCTCCTCCTCCTCCTCATGTGCCCTCGCCTTCTCTTCTCCTCTCCGACTCCTCTTTCCCTCCCTTTCTCTCTTCTTTACCTTCCCCTTCTCCCTTCCACTCCTGCCTTTCTCTCCCACTCGCCCTCTTCTCACTTCACCAGCCACTCGCCTTCCCCTTCTCTCTTCAACATCCCTTCCCTCACCATCCCTCCCCCGAACATTCCCCTCCACTATCTCACACTCCTCAACGTCACACTCCCCCCAATCACGCCCCATACCCTCGCCTTCCCTCGCCTCTCTACCATCACCCACCTCCCCTCCTCCTTTACCGCCCTTTCCCTCTCCCTTTCCCATCACTGTCACTTCCACCACATCGTCATCCTCTCTCGCCTCACTAATTTCATTCTCCTTATCATTCTCATTCTGCCCATTCTTCTCTCTGCCGCCACCACACTCCACACCCTGCCCCTCATCCCCCACTCCATGTCTCTCCCGTTCCTCCTGCTCCCTCCCTTCGCCCCCCTCCCTCTCCCCTCCAACCTCCCTCACTCCCCTCCCTTCGCCCCCATCCGTCTCCCCTCCAACCTCCCTCACTCCCCTCCCTTCCTTCCCCTCCCTCTCCCCTCCAACCTCTCTCACACCCCGCCCTTCAATAACTTCCTTCTCATCTTCCCCCTTCTCTTGCCTCCCCTCCCCTCGCCCCTCCTTTTGTCCTCCCTCCTCTCTCTCCTCCTCCTGCCTCCCCTCCTCCTCTCTCCCCTCCTCATCTCGCCTCTCCACCTCTCTCCTCTCATTCCCTGTACTCACCTCCTTCCTCTCCATCCCCTCTTCCCCCACCTCCCCTTCCCCCACCTCATCCCCCTCTTCTTCACCTACCTTTCCGCCAACCTCTCCCCCTACACCTCCCCCCACCGTCCCCTCTCCATCTCCCCCTACCTCCGCCTGCCCCACAACCTCCCCTACCTCCTCCCCCACATCCTCCCCCACCTCCTCCCCCGTATCTTCCCCCTCCTCCCCTCCCCCCTCTCCCACCAGCCCCACGCCAGACCACAGCATATATTGCTCCAGTGGGTCTATATACCCGCCCAGGGGGTCCGCGTTGTCTTCCAAACCATCCGCGTACCCATCTAAGGGACCTATACCAGCAGCATTCAAGTGATTCAATGAAGTTTCATCGACTGCTTCTGCTGCTTTTTCCGCCTCTCCTGGTCGACCTTCTCGTGCCTTTCCTACTGTGGCCGAGCCCCTCTTATCTGCTTCTCCTCCACTATTAGCCTCTTTGCACCCCTCGCAATCCCTGCACCTATTTCTCTCTGTACACTTTTCGCAGCTGATACGGTTCGTTGTTGCTTTCTCATGTGCTGCTTTGTCGTTCTCCTGCTCCTTTCCCCGCTGCTTCCCGTTGCTGCTGCTGATCCTTTTCCGTCCTTCTCTTCCCTCACTCTCCCCCTCCTCCTTCTCCTGCTCCTCTTCCCCATCTCCTTCCCCCTCTTCTTCCCCCTCCTCCTCTTCCCTCTCCTCCTCGTCCTCCTCCTCCTCCCATTCCCCTTCCTCCTCCCACTCCTCGCCCCATCCTCCCTCCTCTTCCCCTCTTTCCACATCCCCTCCCCCTCCCCTCCTCATCCCCGTTATAGACCATCCTATGTACTCCGCTACAGGGTCAACCCATCCATCTACATCCCCTCTTGACGCCTCTTCCTCATTCCCTTGCATATCAACACGCCCCTTTGCTGCTGTTGCCCTTTCTTCTGTCGCTGTTGCTGCTGCTGCTGCTGCTGCCGCTGCTGCTGCTGCTCCCTCTGCTCGTCTCGCCTCTCTCCCCTCCGCTTTCCCCTCTGCGCGTTTCCCCCCCAGCGCCTCAGCTATTCCCTCCGCCAAACCGTCTATAAGCCCCTCCGCTATTCCCTCCGTCACTCCCTCTCCTACCCCACCCACACCCCCACCCGTGGCACCAACCATGCCCGCACTTGTGCGCGCATCTCCCTTCTTCCCCCCTGCGCTCAGCCCCTTCAACCCTCCGCCCTGCGCCTTTTCCCCCCCGCTTGTCCCCCCCCATTTCTTTTCCCCTCCCGCTCCGTTCCGTTCCCCTTCTCCGCCTCCCTTCCCCCCTGCTTGCCCCCCTTCGCTTCTCCCTCTCCCCTTTTTCTCTCCTCTAACCCTAATCGTAGCCTCATTTCCCTTTACCTCCCCTTTCATCTCGCAATCGCTTTTTCTGACCGGCCCAGAACTTTTCCTCCCTGCCCGCGGGGACCGTTCGTCCTCGACTGACGTCATGCTGTCGTCATCCGACAATTCGTCCTCGTTGCTCACGACAAATCCCTTGCTGCTGCAAATGGAACCTTCTGAGCTGCTTCGGGAGCTGCTGCTGCCGCTGCTACTGCTGTTATCACTGCCATTAGTCGCGAGAGCCTTCCCGACATTTCCATCCTTAATCAACGCGCTGTTCCTTCCGCCGGATTCCGCATTAATTCTACCGCCGGCTTCCGCGCTGGTCCTTCCGCATGCATCCGCTCCGCTAGCCTGCGCCAGTCGCGTCGACCTCCGCGTGCTCCGCTGCGGAACCGAACCGCCCACTTCATCTTCCGCGGATGGCATTTCCGCATATAGCGGTGCTGCACGCGCGACCTAAGTGTGTCTGCGCTGCACGCGCGACCTAGCTGTGCCTGCGCTGCACGCACAACCTATTTCTGCCCATGCCTACGTGTGCTGTCCGCGCACAAGTCCGCTGCTGGGGAAGCAGACTGAGTCGAGTTGGTGCTGTTCGGTTGCTCGAGTTTGCAGATACGCTACAGCTTACAGACATACACAAAACCTTCTAACCAACACGGTACAGTTATATGTTGGAAGTGAGAATGCTTTTATCTTTCTAAACTTTTAACTCTAGCATGTCTTGACCTTCCTTCCACCCACGAGTCACTTCGAAAAAAGTACCGGTATACAGTATGGTAACCCCCTTATACTATATTTCCTCTTTGCTCTTGTGATGGAAGACATTGGAAAACGATTCAGGCTCGAATTCCATCAGGTGCGGAAGACAAAGCGAAAGTCTACCTTGACTTTCAAGAGTGAAATTACGGTAACCAGACTCAGAAAGGTCTTCACTAGAAAAGGAATCAATTCCAGCACAAAATCCTGGAATGGGAGCATCCATTGGCAGTGATTTTTTAGTCCGCACATGCATCGAGGGTTTTCTCCCTGGGACCAACTCCCCGATAATCCTGCCCCGTCCTCTAAAACTATACTCGTCTCTTCTCCATCCCCTCCATCTTCACCACGCCCCCTCCTCTCCCTTCATCCTCCACCATCCTCCCTCCCTCCCCACCCTCACCCCACCCCCTCTTCTCAAACACAAGGACCTACAGAGCCGTCATTTAGGCGAGCCTTCTGAATCCGAGTGTGCCTCCCCTGAAGGCCCAGGTGCCTCTTGCGCTTCAGGAGTTTTTCCTGATCGTTGAGGTGCTCGCGCTGCTGCTTTAAGTGCTCGTCATGCTGCCGCAGGAGCTCCTCCTCCTGCCTCCCGTGCATCTCCTGCCGCTCTTTCTGTTCCTCCAGGAGCACCTCTTTCCGTTTCAGATACAACACCTCCTGCTCCTGCTGTTCCCTCAGGAGCAACTCTTTCTGCTTCAAGTGTGTCTCTTGCTGCTCCTTTTGTTCCCTCAGGAGCAGCTCTTTCTGTTTCAGGTAGAAATCCTGCTGCTCATTCTGTTGGTCCAGAAAGCGCTCTTTCTTCCGCAGGTGTTCCTCCTGTTGCTTTAAGTGTACTGCCTGCTGCCTCAGGTGAGCCTCCTCCTCCTTCAGGAGAATGTCCTCCTGCCTCAGGTGCTCCTTCTCTGTTGCCTTCAGGTGCTTCCTCAGGTTGCATCGGCGGTCTCTCCTCCCCACAAAATGATGCACCTTCCTATTCAGGTACCTCTTCTGCTCCCTCAGGTGGCCTTTCAGGTGCCTTTTCCTGCAGCCAGCCCCTTCCCTCTCAACACCTCCTCCTCCATGCATTTTCCTCTTGCGCCCCTCCTGCAAGCATGTGAACTCCTCTAGTTCAGCTGCATCTTCCTCCTTCTCTCCCTCACACTCATTCACCCCCCAACTCCCCACATTGACATCCCCCCTGGGACAGAGGGGAGAGGGTTCTCCCTCCCCCTCTCCCTCCCCCTCTCCCTCCCCCTCTCCCTCCCCCTCTCCCTCTCCCTCCTTATCTCCCTCCTCTTCTCCCTCTCCTTCTCCCTCCTCTTCTTCTTCTTCTTCTTCTTCCTCTTGTTCTCCCTCCTCTTCCCTCTTCTCTTCTCCCTCCCTCCTCCCTCCTCCACCAACGTTGCCCTCCCCTCGCACCGGCACCACTGCCTTCCCCAAACTACCCTCATTCCCACCAAGGGGTACCTCTACTCCTTCCGCTGTCCCCCTCCCTTCCCCACCATCGCTGCCCTTCCCATGAAGCGGCATCGCTAGCCTTCTTATGCTGCCCGTATAGCCTAGTAACGATGGATTTCCTCCCTCCTCTTTCCCCCTCTCTCCTCCAACCGCGTTGACCTCCCTTTGCACCTGTTGCTTCGCTGCATCGCGCTGCATCGCTGCCATTCCCATGGTGTTTCGCTCCTCTGCAGCCAAGGATTGGGTTCTTGCTCTCTTCTCTGTCCCCAACCCTCCTCCGACCGCGTTGCCTTCTCCTTGAACCTGCATCGCTTCCCTTCCCATGCCGCCCTCCCCTGAAGGAAGAAAAAGGGGTGTTTCCTCCTCGCCATCCCTCTCCTCCCCTCTTCTCCCCTTACCTTCCGTCTCCTCGCCTCTCCTTCCATCTCTCCCTATCACAACACTCGTTTTCTTCTCACATTCCTGCCTAAGAACCTCTTCCCTCCTCTCCTCCTCCCTCCTCGCGGCTTCCTTCCTCTCCTCCTCCCTCCTCGCGGCTTCCTTACTCTCATCCTCCCTCCTCGCCGCTTCCTTCCTCTCCTCCTCCCTCCTCGCGACTTGCTTCCTCTCCTCCTCCCTTCTTTCCGCTTCCTTCCTCTCCTCCTCCCTCCTCTTCCTCTCCTCCTCCCTCCTCGCTGCTTCCTTCCTCTCCTCCTCCCTCCTCGCGGCTTCCTTCCTCTCCTCCTCCCTTCTTGCCGCTTCCTTCCTCTCCTCCTCCCTCCTCGCCGCTTCCTTCCTCACCTCCTCCCTCCTCGCGGCTTGCTTCCTCTCCTCCTCCCTTCTTGCCGCTTCCTTCCTCTCCTCCTCCCTCCTCTTCCTCTCCTCCTCCCTCCTCGCCGCTTCCTTCCTCTCCTCCTCCCTCCTCGCCGCTTCTTTCCTCTCCTCCTCCCTTCTTGCCGCTTCCTTCCTCTCCTCCTCCCTCCTCTTCCTCTCCTCCTCCCTCCTCGCTGCTTCCTTCCTCTCCTCCTCCCTCCTTGCGGCTTCCTTCCTCTCCTCCTCCCTCCTCGCCGCTTCCTTCCTCTCCTCCTCCCTTCTTGCCGCTTCCTTCCTCTCCTCCTCCCTCCTCTTCATCTCCTCCTCCCTCCTCGCCGCTTCTTTCCTCTCCTCCTCCCTCCTCGCGGCTTGCTTCCTCTCCTCCTCCCTTATTGCCGCTTCCTTCCTCTCCTCCTCCCTCCTCGCTGCTTGCTTCCTCTCCTCCTCCCTCCTCGCCTCTTCCCTCCTTTCCTCTCCCCTCCTTTTCTCCTCCCTCCTCGCCTTTTCCTTTCTCGCCTTTTCTCTCCTCGCCGCTTCCCTCCTCTCCTCCTCCTTCCTCTCCTCCTCCCTCCTCGCAGCTTGCTTCCTCTCCTCCTCCCTCCTCTCTGCTTCCTTCCTCTCCTCCTCCCTCCTCGCTGCTTGCTTCCTCTCCTCCTCCCTCCTCGCCTCTTCCCTCCTTTCCTCTCCCCTCCTTTTCTCCTCCCTCCTCGCCTTTTCCTTTCTCGCCTTTTCTCTCCTCGCCGCTTCCCTCCTCTCCTCCTCCTTCCTCTCCTCCTCCCTCCTCGCCGCTTCCTTCCTCTCCTCCTCCCTCCTCGCCGCTTCCTTCCTCTCCTCCTCCCTTCTTACCGCTTCCTTCCTCTCCTCCTCCCTCCTCTCCGCTTCCCTCCTCTCCCACACCCTCCTCGCCGCTCCCTTCCACCACTCCTCCCTCCTCGCTTCTTCCCTCCTCTCCTCTCCCCTCCTTTCCTCCTCTTCCCTCTCCTTCCCTCTCACTGCCTCTTCTTCCCTCTCCTCCCTAACCACCAGTCCTTCGTGCACCCTCATCCCCTTGTCCCCCTCATGTGCCCTCTTTACCCCCGCCTCACTCCCCTCCGCTCCGCCACGCACACCAAGTACCCTGCTCCCACTTCCCCCCTCTTTCTTGTGCTGCGTCCTTGCATGCTTTAACATGCTGCGTCGATTCTTGAAGGTTTGAGAGCAGTGGGGATGAGAGCATGGGAGCTGGTGATTGGGGAGGGGAGGGCGGGGAAGCGAACAGGCAGAGGAGAATCAAGTTACACCAATTGGATTGTAACGCTGTTTCCGTGGATGATACACCATATCATCTCGGCACTTGAAGGTGCAAGGGCAGTGGAGATGAGAGCATTGGTGCTGATGTTTGCGGGGAAGGGGGGGGGGGTGTGGGGGAAGAAAACAGGTAGCAGAGAAACAAGTCGCGGAAAAACAGGGTGCCAGTTAAGGAGGAAGGGAGAACCGGGACAAGAAGCGGAGGCGGAGGGGAAGAGAGCGAGGGTAGCTTACCCGGGGAGGAGCATTGGGGTTGTGAGTAAGAATGTGCTCCTTCAACAGGTGGTTGGATGAGAATGCCTTTTGGCAGTTTTCATGCGGACACACGAACTGATGCAGTGGAGGGGGCAATAAGGGATGGAAGAGGATAAGGTAATGAGAGAAGTGAACAGCAGGGACGAGAAAGGGCAAAGATAGGAAAGAGAGAATGTCGAAGCGGATAGGGGCAGCGGAAATGGAAACGAGGGAAGAGGCAAGGATGATGAGGGAAAGGGAAAACGGGGGGCGGGGGTGTGGGGGGTGGGGAAGCAGGCAAGGGGGAAAGGGGAGGGTGGGGGACAGAGGGAGCGAAGAGAGCTCACTTGGCAAGCATCGGGGTTGTGATGAAGGCGAAGGTGCCTCTGTAGCTGGTAGTTGAATGCGAATGCCCTTTCGCAATTATCATGCGGACACAAAATCTGCAGTGAGAGAGGCAGTACGAGAGGGAGGGGGGGAGGGGAGGAGAGAACAACGGATACTTAAGGCTACGTTTTGAGTCGATTAGAAAACGATGATGGAATGAAGGGAAACGGGTACAGGCACCTGAGACGTGCGGCTGTGAAGTGTGAGAGTGAGGGAGTGAATGAGTGAGCGAGGGAGTGAAGGAGGGAGGGAGCGAGGGAGGGAGCGAGGGAGGGAGGGGGGGAGGGAGGGAGGGAAGGGGGGAGGGAGGGAGGGAGGGAGGGAGGGAGGGAGGGAGGGAGGGAGGGAGGGAGGGAGGGAGGGAGGGAGGGAGGGAGGGAGGGAGTGGGGAAGGGAGCGAGTGAGTGAGTGAGCAAGGGAGTGAGAGGGAGTGAGTGAGTCAGCGAGTGAGTGAGTGAGTGAATGAGCAAGCGAGCGAGTGAGCGAGTGAATGAGTGAGTGAGTGAATGAGTGAGTGAGTGAGTGAGGGAGTGAGGGAGGCACCTCCTTCGAGTGGGTGGCCACGTGATTCTTCAACCTCTGTCGTGTAGGAAACGCCTTTCCACACTCGTCACAGGCGTAGAGCTTCTCATTCCCCCCCTGCCTCTCCTCGTTCTTCTTCATTTCCCCTTTTTTCTCCCCCCTCTCGTTCTCCCCCGTTGTCACAATGCAAACATCCTTCTCCTCCTCATCCACCTCCTCATCCACCTCATCCTCCACCTCATCCTCCACCTCATCCTCCACCTCATCCTCCACCTCATCCTCATTTTCCTCGTCGCCGTCGACGTCCTCCTCTTCATCCTCTCCCACCCACTCCACCGTGCCCCCATCCCCATCCCCATCCCCATCCCCATCCCCATCCCCATCCCCATCCCCATCCCCATCCCCATCCCCATCCCAATCCTCATCCACATCCCAATTCCGCTGCGCCAGACGAGGCGGAAGCCGCCGGGGGTAGCGCCGCAAATACGAGGGTGCGCCATCCGGTAGACTCGCCGATACTCGCCCCGAAGTCACGCCGATGCCCCTCGAGTCTTGAGGCGCCCTCATATTTATTTTCAAGCGTAAAGCACCGTCCCTATCCATCACAAGATCATTCCGCGTCGCATTCGATTTTCGTTGCAATGATGATCCCATCCCTCTCTCTAGCGCGCTACGGGTCCTTAATCTACTCCCAGGGTAACCTTCGAGCCAACTCGTGAAAGTTAACTTCTGAACTCGAATCACGAGTCACTTTTTACTACCGTTCTTTAGTCGACTCAAGCTGATTTAGACGTGAAGTGAAACTATTCCCCGACAGCGCAGTGCGCAACCGTTGACATCACAACCGCGCAGCCTGCTCGCCTTTACGCTCTATACCGGGTGACAACAGAGAGCTTTTGGACGTCCTCGCCTCGACGTTCTATACCGGTCCCACCGTGTGGTTTACTCGGCGTACTCGACCTACTTGATTGACCTATTCGCTATGTGAAGATACAGGGCGACACATTTGAATGTCGAAGGAAATGAAATGGAGCGCATGCAGCAGCTTCGCAGCGCTGGGCCTTTCGTAATGCATGTAGCTCGGCGTGGAAGGGAGTTTCATAAGCACTACTGGCCCGAATTTGCCACGTGTCTCAACCCAACGAACGTTTCTTGTCATCAATCCATCGTCTTACGTAGTGGCTAAAGCCTAAAGGCACCTCACCTCACTCAAAGTAAGCGCTTAGGGCGCATTCCTGTGGAGACACAAATGTCTCAATCGCTTAGTGACACACAAAAACAGCATAAACTGTAGTGTGTCCCAATTGCGAGTCGCATTTCCGCGACCATTACTGTATTTTTTATTGGTCAGCGTGAAACGCGCTGACGTCGCTGACGAATTGTAATCTGACTCGTCAATGTGAAAAATTCGCACGCTGCTCGAAATGTCAATGCACCTGGACAGCCTGCAATGCCAATTTCGTGCGGGAAAAAATCCCGCTCGTCGAAACCACACCCCAGCCAAGCGGTTGAAAAAAGGGATGTACAGTCATTTGTGTCACCCAAACAAATGCGCACAACTGTACATCTCGCCTGGTCGCCTAGAGTCGCGATACATTGGTTGTTTGTGACACAACATTTGGCAAATTTACAGGCGCGACTCGGGAAATCGGGGATTGAGACACAAGTGTCCCCGCAGAAATGCACCCTTATTCGCAAATGTGAACGAGGTCACTGATTGGTTGAGAGATAAATTGCCGCATGTAGTGCAAGGTTGGCTGCAATTCAAGTTCCACCTTGACAGCTGCGACATTAGTTGACCCACAATTACCATTGCTCGAGAGAAACTCCTCCAATGCATCACTATAGAGGAAAAAAAGCTATTCCTGTACAGCTAAGTTATCAGGAGGGAGAATTTGTGGGGGAGTGAGCTGCATGACATACTCAACCGGCTCGAAGTCAATACGTTTAATTCAATACGCGTTTTTATGTGAGGAATTTGACTTGTAAGCAGTTACGACAGAGACACATATCGTAAGTCAAATTTACTCAACCGCATGCGGTATCAAATTCTCAAATTGGAACTCTGTTACTGCTCATATGGTTCAATTTCTGCAAGCCAGGGTGAAGCACATAATGAGCGAACATTTCTCTCGCTCGTGTCCCTCCACCGTATATATAAAAGAGCCCCCCAAGCTATTGGGGAAAAGAAAAAGGCACCAATTGTGAAAGCTTTGCTTATTCCATCTTGCAAAGGCAGCCGTGCTTCATTCCAAATGGGCAGCGTGCTTCATTCCAAATGGGAAGTTACTGTCAGAATCCCAACCACTAGACCATTGGGATAAAAGGGCTTGTTAAGTAGCGGGTCAGTGCGTCCATAATCCCCCAGGCCAACATGCCTGTAACCCTTCCCTAGGATCAATCGGGGATCACCAGTGGACCTCTGACACCCCCCCGCACTGGGATGCCCGAAGTGCACACACTGGGATTCGAACCCGAGACCTTCGCTCTGATACCATGTCAGAATCCCAACCACTAGACCATTGGGATAAAAGGGATTGTTTGTGTAGCGGGTAAGTGCGCCCATAACCCCCCAGACCTGTTGGGAACAAACAATCTTAAGCGCCTCTGTCGTGTCGAAACACCAAGGCACAAGCGAAGCAGAGCATATCGAGGCACCAGCGAGTCAACCCTCGGAGGTTGAAGTAACCGCTGGAGGTTACGCGAAAGTCAAAGGTCAGCGACCTTTGACTTGACAAATGCAGCGCGACAGCAAGGACACACAACTGACTCGACATTGAGCAGTTGCCCGAGTCGCACTGTATCGAACCGCAACAGTAAAACAGTTTAATTATATCTCTTCGTATTCTTTGTACTCTTATATAAACCTTTGTACTTGCTTGTTTTAATCAACTTACTTTGCCCTCACATACCAGCGCAAGGTGGTTCAAGGACTTCATTTAAACGCTTCCGCTACTACATCACTCTACCCAGAGTTTAACCCTACCAAAGATCCTAAGGGGCACTCAGCCCAACAAGACCAACGTGCCTGTAACCCTCTCCAGGATCAATCGGGGATCACCAGTGGACCTCTGACACCCCCCCGCACTGGGATGCCCGAAGTGCATACACCGGGATTCGAACCCGAGACCTTCGCTCTAATACCATGTCAGAATCCCAACCACTAGACCATTGGGATAAAAGGGCTTGTTAAGTAGCGGGTCAGTGCGCCCATAACCCCCCAGGCCAACATGCCTGTAACCCTTCCCTAGGATCAATCGGGGATCACCAGTGGACCTCTGACAGTTACAACGTTCTCGTCCATCAATGATACACAATGGGGTGGGTGGTGGGAAAGTAAAACTAGAAATTGGAAATGAAGAACGTGGGTGGAGCTACTGAAATCACGTTCCTCTTTTGTAGGCAAAAGAGGGGTGAGTAGCGTCGAGCTGCTACCTTTGCTGCGTTGGCCACGTCCTCGCTTTCACAATACGAAATTTGAAAAAGTGTTACACTTTTAAAAATTATAATATTGTGAAAGCTTTGCTTAGTCCATCTTGCAAAGGCAGCGTGCTTCATTCCAAATGGGTCTTCTGAGGCAAGTGCATTATGGGTCGGCGGTGCCTCTCCAATCACTGCTGGTGGCTAACAGGCGATGGGGCGGTGGAGGTGTCCTGCAGCTGGGTGGAGAGGTCGATGAGTTGGTCTTGGGCGATAGTGACGTAGAGGTCCTTCGCGCCGTCGCTTCGCCATCGACCCATTCGTTTGAAGAGCCGGTCGGGGATGCCTAAGGCAGCTGCTGCTGTTGCTGCGCCCTTGCGGAAAGAGTGTGTTCCGATGTGCGTGGCGTCCAGCCCTGCCTTCTTACAAGCCTCGAGGCACCAACTCCGGATGGTTGTATACGAAGGCGATTTGTCATGCGGCGAGGCTTGTGCCCCTTTGTTGAACACCCGGATCAGTGGCCCGTGTGGCGTATTCGCGAGGCCTGCGAGGCGAATGAACTCCCGTGTGCATCTCACTGCGGAGTAAGGCCCTGCCGTCGCCGCGACCGGGATCCACGTGCCCTTGCCTTCCTGGTCCGTCTTGGAGTACGGGATTAGGAGCCACATTGCCGCCCCTTCGAACTGGATGTCGTTCCATTGGAGGGATATCAAATCGGAGTAGCGCAGGAATGCTGCGAACATCAAGAGAGGTATCAAGCCTTTCTGATATTCCGCCAGCACCGTTGACTCCAGGAAGGGTCGTGCCATGTTGTGCACCTGATGGAGTGACACGGGTTCCTTGGTCCTTGTCGGGCGGGGGCCATGTCGCTTAGCAAACTCTCGTACTTGCAGCGTGAACGGACCGTTCGTTGGGGATGCCTCTCCGATCATCCGATGTGCGAAGGCCACGGCGGAGCATGTGAGGCTGATCGCTGATATGGTGGCCTTGTTGTTCAGCGCGTGGACAAGGTAGAGTGCCAGCGTGAGGTCCGTTGCTGGCAGAAATACCAACTTGACTTGAGTGCAGAAGTTGCGAAACTTGAGCCAGTATGGCTGGTATGTCTCGATCGTGGACGGCGCGCGAACATGCGTGATAACTCGTAACAATTGCTTTTGAAGCTTGGTCAGCAATCCTGAAAGATTTAACATTCGAATATCAGTTACATGTTGTATTTTACACGCAAGGCAATGATTGGGCTATGTGGCAGGCCGAGTCCGGAGAATGCCGTTGCGTGCGAGCCAGGACGAAGGCATTGGCTTTCTTGAGCGAGACGCAAGCATGCGATCACTTCTGGGGCCCATGTTTGTGGGGAGGGTTGCAGCAGTGGCCACCATGCTGCTCCCGGCCACTCAGGGACAACAAGTGTCAACTCGGCTTGTGTGCGCCTGGCGTGAGAAAGCGTGGCCGGGATCAAGCCGGGGGGCGGAAATGTGAAGCAGCGCTCGCCTGTCCATGAGATCGAGAACGCGTCGATTGCGGTAGCGCTTGGGTGCGGTATTTTGGAGCAAAATCGTTGCAGCTTCTTGTTGCTGGCGTTCGCGAAAAGGTCGATCGTATGGGGACCCCATCGACGCTCCAGCAGGAGAAACCATGGCGTTTGCAGAGAGTAGTCGTCATGGTCCTGGATTTTGGACAGTTCGTCCGCGTGGGCATTTAGCTCCCTTGGGATCCATTCGATCGCCAGACGTGTGTGGTTCTTGAGGCAGAACTGTATGACCGCTTGGCATGTCAGTGTCAGCCGGGGTTGGCTGGACCCCCCTTTGCGCAAGATGAACATGACTCCTTGGTTGTCCACGCGGACCAAGACATGGCCATTGGTGATGTGGGCCGCAAATGTCTGCAGCGCCCATAGGACTCCCTCGAGCTCCCTTTGAGTGCTTGAGGTTGGGAGGAGCTCACTTGGCATACTGGTGCTTGCCTCGTACGAATCGTCGGCAAACTTTGTGAGGATGGCACCCCAGCTATGAGCGCTCGTGTCGACGTGGATCACAGCATCGAATTGATGGTTTAGGTGAAACGGGGCGCCGTTAAATTGGTCAAAGTGCAGTTGCCAAAAAATGAGCTCCTCGATGGCGGCCCGTGGCAGCCGGATCCTTGAGTGCCAAGACGCCGCTGCCTCGATCAAATGTAGCAGCTCGTGGCTGAAGGCGCGTGCCGTCGTGCCCAATGCTAGGGACATGGAGCTCAACATTCCGGTGATACTAGCGACTTGCCGAATTGGGACTTGTTGGCCGCGTTGTCCTTTGCAGATAAGCGTGTTGAGCGTTTCTAGGAACTTTGCCCACCGTTCGGACCCGATGCTGAACGTGCCGCACTTCGTGTTAAGCTCCATCCCCAAAAACCGTGTTTGATGGGCCGGCTGGAGGCGCGATTTCTTCTCGTTGATCACAAAACCTGCCATCCCCAGATCGTGTAGAACCTCTGTGCATGTCTTGCGCGCTTGCTCTGCGGAGTCGCAGAGGAATAGCATGTCGTCGACATATGGTACTACACGCACGCCACGTGCACGCCAGCGTTTGGCCAATTGCTTGATCAGCTGAGTGAAGACGAAAGGTGTTGTTGCCAATCTGAACGGCAGAGCTCGAAAGCAATAGAACTCGCCTTCAAAATGGAAGCCTAGGAACTTCCAGCATGAGGGGTGCATCTCGACGTGGTGGTAACCCGATTTGAGGTCGATGGTGTGTTAAAGTTTAGAAGAAAGAAGAGGATTGCACTAGCAAGAATGGGGATACAAATAGCAAAACCCTAGAAGAGTTGTACTCGCTATAGAGCACCCCACTACAGGCTAGAGCATAATATTCTGACACACCCCCATAGCCAAAGTGGGGTGTAATCAGCAGAGCAAGCAAAAGAAAACAAGCTCAGGGTGGATCACAATGTCACCACACATTCTGAGCACAAGTACAAGAGGTAGCAGTTTTATAGTTAACAAATATAAGCAAAGCTAGAGGCTATCACAGAGGGCAAGTGAGGAGGAGGAGAGACTGTGGGGGAGAGAAGATGGGAGGCGACTGCTGACGCTGCAGACACACAGACGAGCTGCTGGCTCAGTGGCTACCGGAACAGCGCTCCGGACTACTGGGGTAACTGGCCCCGCGGCTAAAAGTAGCGGCAGACGAGCAACGGACCCACGGGCGACTGGCGACTACCGGAGATTGTAGCCTCCGGACTGCTGCTGCTGCTGGCGACACGACGACCGCCTCCATTCAACCTCCCCCAACTGTCCCACCCCCATTTCACACACCCCCTGTTCAAACCCTAGCTCTACTCACACTCCACCCCCCTAGCACCACTCCGTACACTCCCACACATCCACCCCCCTCAGCGATAGCTGCAGCAGTGGGAGACGAAGGAGGAGGAGGAGCAGGCGACGCCACACACCCGCCACCCCCCAACCGCCACCCCCCAACCGCCACCCCCCAACCGCCACCCCCCAAACCCTAAAAACAGGGTAGGGAGGTAGGGGGGGGGGGGGCAACGCGCGGCCCGGCCCCCCCCAGGGCGCCGCGACGGGCGACGGGAGTTGGGCCGGGGCAGGTCGGGGCCGGGGCAGGTCGGGGCCGGGGCAGGTCCGGGACGGGGCAGCAGGGGCCGCGCACGGCTCCCCTGGGCAGCGCGACGGGGCAGCAGGGCCGCGCGACGGGGCAGCAGGGGCCGCGCGCGGCTCCCCTGGGCAGCGCGACGGGGCAGCAGGGCCGCGCGACGGGGCAGCAGGGGCCGCGCGCGGCTCCCCTGGGCGGCGCGACGGGTCCCCGTCGCCCGTCGCAGCGCCTCCCGGGGGCGACGCGGCGAGTGACGGGGCAGAAACCCGTCGCGCGCCTCGGGGCGCACGGTGGGCAGAAAACCGCCGCGCGCCTCGGGGCGCACGGCGGGCAGAAAACCGCCGCGCGCCTCGGGGCGCACGGCGGGAAGAAAAACTGCCGCACGCCACGGGGCGTGCGGCACAGAGAGTAGCAGTAGCAGTTGCAGCGGAAGCAACAAGGTGGTGAGCCCACCCACAGGATCGATCCAAGGGGATCGACCTGCTCTGATAGCATGTTAAAGTTTAGAAGAAAGAAGAGGATTGCACTAGCAAGAATGGGGATACAAATAGGAAACCCTAGAAGGGTTGTACTCGCTATAGAGCACCCCACTACAGGCTAGAGCATAAGATAACATACTGACATGGTGAACAGCCAGTCGTTGCGTCTAATGATCTCTGAGACCCGATTTAAACCTTCGTACTTGAATTTGGGAACTTGAAGTTGTTGATTGACCTTGCGTAGGTCGAGGATGAGGCGGCATTTGTCGCGTTGTTCCACCACGTTGAGTGGACTTATGCACGAGAGCGCGGTCCGCGAGGAGACCTTCATTGCCGCGCCTGATGTGATTAAATCGCGAATGGCCTCACGAGTGAACGTCGTGTGTGCGTGGACACCTGCGTGGTTTGCGGTTTCAAAGGGTGGCGGTTCGGTGTTCTTCCAAGGCAGCCAATAACCCATGGCAATGATTGAGATGATGAAACTGCTGTCGCACCACGATATCCACCAGTGGAGTTGGTTCCGCAATTGGTTGCGCATGACCTTTACCGTGCCGTCCGTGACCGCGTTCTCGTACGGGTCCCACTCCGCATCTTGCCACTTGTCGTCTGCCACTGCACGTTGGGGGCAGCCGGGGAAGGGTGTATTAGGTGATTAGCCTTTTGGTCATGGGGACGACCCGTGGGCTTATGAATAAGGTATTGCTCAACCTTCCTTGTCTCCTTAGGTGTTTTTTTTTTTTTTTTTTTTTTTTAACGATCCCCTACGCCTGCCGCGCATCCTTAGGCGGGCCTCTTGGCCGGGATGAGGGTCTGGTTTTTTTTTTTTTTTTTTTTTTTATCACGAGCCTCCTCGTCCGTGAGGCCTCACTCCATCACCCTCTTTCTCTCTCTCTCTCTCTCTCTCTCTCTCTCTCTCTCTCTCTCTCTCTCTCTCTCTCTCTCTCTCTCTCTCTCTCTCTCTCTCCCCGTACTCTCCTGGTTTCTTTCCCATCTCGGTTTCCTCCTCCGTCCTCCTTACTCTTTCCTTCTGAGTCATAGGGCTGTTCATGCTGCAGGGTGGCTGCCTTGGTTCAGCTTTCTTGCTTTCCTTTTTTTTTTTTTTTTTAACAATAAGAATATAATTTTTATTACTTGCCTCCACACATGGGTACATAGCACGTACTACCCCCATATCCGTCCTTCCGGCTAGGAATTTCTACGGCCTTCAGCCCCTAGCTCATGCTAGCTACCAACTGCGCACCCCCGGTGCTCCCACCTACGCCCCCCGGCATAGTGGCAAGGGGCGCCGCCCCGTGTGCCTCCTCACACCACGGGTGAGGGGCCTTGAGCGCCTCGCCCTCCCATGGGGCAAGCATTCGCCATATGGCCGGGCTGGCCGCAGCGGAAGCACACCCCTTTGAAGCGGGGTTCGTGGCAGCTTGCGGGCGGCATGCCCTTGCCTTCCGTGTCGCCATCTCGGGTGGGCATGCGGTTGCCGCGAGTGTAGCCGGCCCGTGCGCGTTTGAGAGCCGCCACATCGGCAACGGCGAGCTTGTACGAGCGTGAGGTCAAAACGCTCTTGGACTGGTACAGCTGAAAACGATCGGCAGCTTCGAACCCCGCCTCGTCCGCCACCAATAGGACTTCGAAGCGCTTGTGGATGAGCGTCTCGATTTCCGCGACGTTGGTGAGGGCGCTTTCTATGTCGTCGTGCTGGAGCTTGAAATTGACGTGCTTCAGGTGCGCCTGGATGGCAGAAAAGAGCTCCGCCTGATCGCGCACACCTTTGCGCATGAAGGTGGTGGATGCGGGTGTGAGGTGGAGGGGTGGGAGGGAGGGTGCGGGTGCAATAATACGACAGCGGGTAATGTTGTTGGGGGCCTCACCATCTTCGTTCTCTGAGTCGTCGCTGTCGTCTTGAGCGGCGATCGGCGCAGATGCGGGCGCGGGAAGTGGTGCGGCAGTGGTCTCGTTGACGCGAGCCGCCTTGTTGGTGCGAGGGGCGGTGACTTCCTTCTGATTTTCATTTTTTGCAGGTGTTGAAATGTAGTCGGATGAATTTGCGATTGTAACCGCCGCGTTCTGCTGTAACATCGAGAGCAGCGCTTGCATTTGCTGCGCAGTGAGGGACGCGAGGGGGTTAAAACCAGGGTGCACATTCAACGCGGTTCGGCTTGAGATGTTGGGAAGGGGGTTTGGAGAAAAACAGTGATTGGCTCACGAGGGGCGACAAAAAAATGATTCCGCTAGAGCTTCGGGCATTTCGTAGGTGGCGGGAGGGGGTGAAATGGCGGGAGTGGGTGAAACCGAATGGCGGGAGGGATGAAACAGATTGGCGGGAGGGGGGGGAAACGAAATTGCGGGGGAGGGGGGAAACAAAATTGCGGGGGAGGGGGGAAACGAATTTCGACGGGGAGGGGGAAATGAAATTGCGGGGGCGAGGGGAAACGAAATTGCGGGGGAGGGGGGAAACGAATTTCGACTTGAAGGGGTTGAAAGCACACCTCGTAACCCACTCAGTCAAGGGATAACCTTTGATGCACATTCAGCTGAATGTGCACCCCGGTTTTAACTGGGGCGGTTTCTGCTGAGGCCGCTGCTTTCTGCCGCTTCTGCAGAGTGGGCCCCGGCTGACCAGCGTCGCCGTCCGCGTCAGCCCCCGTTGACTTGACCGGACCGCGCGGCTGCCTGGCAGCCACGCGCTCGTCAGCAGGGGGCACGCGCGACTGTTTCACAGTTGCGCGTGCTTCTTCAGAGGGGGCTCGGGAGTTGCTCCCGAGCAGAACTTCGACTCCTGAGGGGCCCTCGCCGAAATTGTCCTCAGCAGGGCGTTTTCCGCGGCGGTCGGGTGCCCCGGGCGCGTTCGCGTGCTCCGAAGTATTACCCGGGGTAGTCGTCTTTTCCGCCTCTTGATTAAGTGTAGTGTTGGCGGGAGCCATACTCGCGAGGTTGTGTTGAAGAATGTCGGTAAGAAGAGTTGACGGGGACTTGAACCGCGGGAGGGACTGTGTCTTCGCCAGGATGAACGAGAACTAGGAAAGTAAAACTAGAATTTGGAAATGAAGAACGTGGGTGGAGCTACTGAAATCACGTTCCTCTTTTGTAGGCAAAAGAGGGGTGAGTAGCGTCGAGCCGCTACCTTTGCTGCGTTGGCCACGTCCTCGCTTTCACAATACGAAATTTGAAAAAGTGTTACACTTTTAAAAATTATAATATAGTGTGATACTTGAGTATTTCAAGACCACAACTTTTGGCTATGCACGATTTCGTCAACCCAAAAGTCATCACTTGGTTATGCCGGGGTGGGGCAAGTAGGGGGGTGCTTCTCCCTCTGCATGCACCCTTTCAGCTGTTCCACCCATGCAGTAGAGCCGGCATGAGCGTAGTGATAAGAGATCGCAGTCAGCTCACAAGTCATCATTTGGTTATGCCGGGGTGGGGCGTGTGGCAGTGGTGCTTCTTCTGCTTGTCCCCTTGTTCTCCCTCTGTCAGTTGCACCCCGAACCCCACCTCCAATCTCTTCATCCTTCACCCCCCCTCCCTCCTGTCAATTCATCATTCACCGCCTTGCCTCCTGTCCCTCTGTTCACGATCCTCCTCTCTCCATGTTTCACCTCCATCCCTCACCACCCCCTCTCCCCTCTCTCCATCTTTAACCACCCCACTGGTTCTATCTCATCCTTCACCACACCTGCTCCTCTCCCTCCATTCTCCACCACTCTTCCTCCTTCCACACCACTCACAGCTACCGCTCTTCCTCTCCTTCAACCATCCTCAACCGTCCTCCATCCCTCCGCACCACTCATCACCACCTCTTTTTTAAACACACGAGGAGCTACAGAGGAACGATTCAGACAATCCTTCCGAATCTGTGTGCGTCTCACCTGAAGCTCCAGGTGCTGCATCTTACGCTTCAGGTGCTTTTCCTGATCGTCCAGGTGCTCATGCTGCTGCTTCAGGAGTTCTCGCTGCTGCTTCAGGTGCAGCTCTTGCTGCATCAGGTGCTCTTCCTGTTGCTTCAGGTGCTCGCCCCTCTGCCTCAGGTGGGCCTCTTCCTCCTTCAAGAGCATCTCCTTCCGCCTCAACTGTTTCTCTGTTGCCTTCAGGTGTTTCCTCAGCTTGCATCGGCGGCCTCTCCTCCCAACAATCAGATGCACCTTCGTGGCCAGGTATCTCTTGTGCCCCTTCAGGTGGCTTTTCAGGTGGCTTCTCACGTGGATTTTCCTGGAATTAATACCCTCCCCCTCAGCACCTCCTCTAGCACACCTTCTCTTTCTCATCACTTCTCTCCTTGTAAACCCCTCCTGTCTGGATGCTCCAACTCTTGCTGCACCATGGTTCTTCCTCTTCCGCCACTCGAGCACGCTCGTGCGCACCTTTTTCTCACCCGCCGCATCTTCCTCCTTCCTTCCATCGATGCCCTCTATCTCGCTCTCTCCGTATCCTCCTCCCACTTCCTTCTCCCGTATTCCCCTTTCCTCTACTCTCTCCCCTATTTCCGTTTCTATCCACAAATCATCCCCCGCTTCCTCCCCCTTCCCCACTCCACCTCGACCATACTCCTCACACCCATCCTCCTCCTGTTCCCCACACTGATTCTTCCCCTCGCTGACCCCAGCAACCCCCCCCGCTCCTTTCCCTCCCCCAATCATGTTGCCCTCCCCTTGCGCCTGCACCACTGCCCTACCCACCTTGGCAACAAGGGAATGGGCAGGGCGGGAATGGTTCACTCCAGCCTCGTCCTCCATCACAGCATCTGCTCCCTCCTCCCTCCTACCTTCTCCAACCGTGCCCAACCCCTCCTCAAGCTGCATCACCGCTGCCTCCCCAACACTGCCCTCCCCCCTGGGTGGAAGCAATGGTGTTGCTCCTTCTATCCCCACTCCGTCTCCAACCGTGCCGAACCCCTCTTCAAGCTGCATCACCACTGCCTCCCCAACGCTGCCCTTTCTCCAGGATTCTCTTTCCTCTTCCCCCCTCCCTTCTCCAACTGCAACGCTCTCTTCCTCGAGCGGGATCACAGCCCTTTCCACGCTGCTCTCCCCCACGCGGCTCTCTGCCCTTCCCACGTTTTCCCTGCTTCTGAGTGGGAAGGCATGTGGCACCCACCACTCTTCGCCCCGCTCCTCCTCCCTCCTTCCCTCTTCGTTCCTCTCCTCCCATCTTCTTTCCCCTTCCCCAATTGCATCACTTGCTTGTTTCTCCCCTCCATGTCCCACTTCTTGCCTGAAACCCTCTAAGCTCCGTTCCCCCTCCCTCCTCTCCTCCTCGCGCTTATCCTCTTCCCACCTTCCCTCTTCGTCCCTCTCCTCCCTCCTTCCCTCTTCGTCCCTCTCCTCCCTCCTTCCCTCTTCGTCCCTCTCCTCCCTCCTTCCCTCTTCGTCCCTCTCCTCCCTCCTTCCCTCTTCGTCCCTCTCCTCCCTCCTTCCCTCTTCGTCCCTCTCCTCCCTCCTTCCCTCTTCGTCCCTCTCCTCCCTCCTTCCCTCTTCGTCCCTCTCCTCCCTCCTTCCCTCTTCGTCCCTCTCCTCCCTCCTTCCCTCTTCGTCCCTCCTTGCCTCCCCGCAACGTTGATTCCTTGCATGCTGCAGCCTCTCTCCTCCTCTCCCCCTCTCTGTGCAATGCTTCATTCTAGAATGTCGCACCATGTAGTCTGGGCGCTTGAAGGTTCGAAAGCAGTGGGGATGAGGGCACGGGTGCTGGGGGTTTGGGGGGTTTGGAGGGAAGGGGGGGGTTGGAGGGAAGTGCAAGGGCACTGGTGGTTTTGTGATTGCGGCAGGGATGGGGAGAGGACACCCAAACCATTGAGAAAGCACAATACAACCAACAGGGAGAAACCAACAGGGAGAACACAGCTAACCTGTTTCATTTGAGAACAAATATATTTTTGGAAAACGCCTACAGCACTCAAAGTCTCAAGGATCCAGTCTAGGCTCGTAGTGTAACGGCTGCACGCCTGAAGACATTGCTTAAGCAACTGACGAAAACGCTGAAGCATCTGAAGGGACGAAACGGAAGAACTTCCTAGAAACTCAAGTGGAACAAGAAGACGCATACCACCAAGAAGGTCAGTGAGGTGTTGTAGAGGCGCGAGTGAGAGAGGACGGGTGAAGACGATATTATGGATTGGGAGAAGAGTTTTTTTAATTCTCTTTTCTTTGAAAAATCTAAAAATACAGAGGGAATGGGATACGAGATTATGGAATGGGGTACGGCAGTTAAGGAGCGGAAGGAGCCCAAGAGGTCCTTCCTCTTGCTTCCTCTTGGGTACAGAGCCCAAGAGGATGCACGGAGGTCGAGAAAGAGGAAGAGGAGGAACAAGGAAGGAGTATGGTGGGAAAACGGAGGATAGAAGGGAGAAGGTAGAAAAGGGAGCGGAATGGGAAGTGGAGGGGGAAGAGCAAGGGGACCCCGAGGAGCATTGGCGCTGTGCCCATTCAAGAGCCTCGTTAGCTGGTAATTTTTGGCGAACGAGGTGACTCACATTTTTGGGTTTATAGACTCAAAAGGCAAGGGGGAACCCACCCGGGGAGCATTGAGGTCGTGCACGTTTAAGTGCCTCTGTAAGCGATAATTTGTTGCAAACGCCTTCTTGCAGTCAGACTTTGGACACACGAACGACCTCTGCAACAAAATGAGCGGTGAGGGAGAGAAATGAGGGCAGGGGCAGAGGAACAGCCAGGCAGAGAGAAGAAGTGACTTGAGCGATTTCACTGGCCGGTGAATCCACTGGAAGGATGCGCGTGAATGGGCAAACTCTGACGCAGAAGCGGCGATACGTGGGAGAGAAGAGAGGACGAGGGAAAGAGTGGACGAGAGAAAGAGAGGACGAGCGTTGGCAACGGGTAGAGCAGTCACCAAACGCATGCAGCATTTGGGAGTGAGGGACTGAGGAAGCGAGGGAGTGAGTGAGAGAGTGACGACTGAGCTAGTGAGTGAGTGGGGGAATGAGCAAAAAACACCTGCTTCGAGTGAGTGGCCATGTGTTTCCTGAACGCTTCCCTGCGAGAAAACGTCTTCTCACACTCCTTACACATGAAGGACTGGGTCCTTGGACTTTTCTCCGTCCCCCTCCCTCCTTCACCACTGCTGACCTCCCCTTGAAGCTGGACCTCTGCACTTTCCATGCTGCCCTCCTTTTCACGTAAGGATCGAGTTGCTGCTTCCTGCTCTGCTGCTGCCTGCTCTGTCTCCCTTCCTCCTCCTCCACCGCTGCCCTCCCCTTGAAGCGGCATCACAACCCTTCTGATGCTGCCCGTATAGCCTAGCAAGGACTGCGTTCCCTCCTCCGCTTCCCCCCTCCTTGCTCCAGCCCCACGGCCCTCCTCCTGCGGCTGGCCCAGTGGCCTTCCCAAGCTGCCATGCCTGGAAGGAAGGCGATGGGTCAATCCTGCCTCTTCATACCTCTCCTCCCCTCTCCTTCCTCTCTCTTCGTCATCCCTCGCCTCTTCATTCCTCTCCCCCACGGTCCTTCCCTCTTCACCCATCTCCTCACCATTCCTTTTCTCTCCTTCCCTCTCCTCCCCTCTCTCTCCCTCCCCTTCCCCCCTCTCCTTCCCCCCTTCTACCGCCTCTCTCACAGGATGACGCCTCCCCACCACTCCCCTATTCGCTCTCTTTCCCTTCTTTCCCCACTTCTTCTGCTCAATGCTTACCCCGCCCACACTCCCCACCTCCTCACGCGAAACACCAACCACCCGCCCCCTAGTCCCCCATTCCCCGGCGTGCTCTGTCCTCACATGGAACGCCAGGGCGTCTCGGTACTTGAAAGCTCGGAGACAGTGGGGATGATGAGGGCACGTGAGCTGGGGATCGGCCGGGGGTGAGCGGGTGGGGGAGAAAACAGGGAGAGGAGATACAGGGCACATCAATCAAAGCCGCAAGTGCTGTGTGCTTGCATGCTGAAACGATATGGGTGCGTTACTTACCCATGCATTCTGCATGCATGCTTGCATGCAACAGTGCATCTTGCCACTTCAAGGTTTGGGAGCAATGAGGATGGGATGAGAGCACGGTGTTATAGATTGGCGAGCGGGATGGGGGAGGAGAAGTGCGGGAAAAGGGAGGATCAAGGCAGGGCATGAAAGGGGACTCAACTAAAGTGGGATCTAAGCTCCTTGAGCACTTGATTTTACAACAGAAAGTACATACTAGCTGTTGTTCTTCTTGCTTTACACCTAGCTTTACGTCCCTGCTGCTGTTTGAAAATTGTGTCTCCTGGGGAGCAACAGGGTCCTCCTCCCAGGTGAGCTTCCCTTGCCTCTGAGGTGAACCTGTGAACCTGGGAAACCCAGCAAGGTGCCTAGCTAGCCGGTAGTCACTAGATTGGTGGTCGCTTTTGAGAATTCTTCGGACATAATTCGCGGGACATGAGTCGCGATATGAGTCGACTCAAAACACGGTAGTCCTTGGTGGTCGCTTTTGAGAATCCTCAACAAGGACTTGCAAAACGAAATTGCCTCACCCATGTTGTTTGCTAAGAGTCCAGAGGAAACCACCCCGCTTGCGAAACAGAAAAAGCCTCACCCGAGGAGCATTGGGGTCATGCGCTATAAGGTGCCTTGTTAGCTTGGAGCTTCTGGGGAACGCCTTGTGGCAACCCACATGCGGGCACACAAACGGCCCCCGCTGCAGAGCACAAGGGAGGGGGCATGAGGCGCAATGAGGGAAGGGAACAAGTTTGTTATGAGGCGTCTCGCAACATTTCTAGGCGAACACCCTGCGGCAACTCGTGTGCGGGCACACAAACGGCCGCCGCTGCAGAAAGGGGCGTGAGGCGCAATCGTGGGCAGAGGGGCAGGCGGCAAGTGGGGGAGGTACCGTAGGCACAAGAAGGTGCTTGGGTTAGCTGGTGATTCTTGGCAACCCACATGCGGGCACACAAGCGACCGCTACTGCAGAGAGAGCAAGAGGGGGGAAGACGAGGGGTAAGGGTAGAGCTGGCACCAGAGACTTTGAGACGTCTCAAAAATAGAGCTGGCAGAAACCTGGAGAAACGTTAGCGTCCGCGTGAACGAGAGCGTTGAGTTCAGTGGGCGAGCGAGTGAGCGCATGAGGGGGAGCGTGGGTGAGTGCGCGCGTGAGTGAGGGGGCGAGTTGAGTGAGTGGACGCGTGAACAAGGAAAACGCACCTGTTTAGGATGGGAGAGTGGGCGAGTGAGTGAGTGAGAGGCCACGTGCTCCTTTAACCTTGCCCGCCGATCAAAAGCCTTCCCACATGCCTTGCAAGTATGCTGCTTCTCATGCCCCCCCTCCCCCCTCTCCTCGTCCACCTTTTCTTCCCCCCTATCTCTCACTCTCCCCCCTTCCCCCGTCAAGTCTTCTTTCTCCTTCCCACTTTCACCAGATAATTCGTTAATATCCCGCCACCTATTGTCCTCTGTTAATATCCAGATTGGAACTTCCGTCACATCATCTTCTCCTCCCTCACACTTCCCCTCGCCCCCCCCACATTCCCCCACACAAACCACTTCACACTCCTCCCCATCCCCATCTTCATTCACCTCTTCCCCGTCCCGCACCTTTTCCCCCTCCAGCACCTCCTCCCGCACCTCTTCCCCCTCTCGCACCTCTTCCCCCGTTCCCACAGCTTGCCTTTCCCCCACCTGTAACCCTTTCGCCCATCCCCCTCCTCCATCTAACCTCCAAACCCATGTGTGACCTTCCCCCGTTCTACCACCAATTCCCCCCATCACCGCTCCCCCTGTCTCACCGCCCCATAGACTCCCACCCTCGCCCCCACCTCCCCCCTCCCCCGAGCTTCCCCCTTCTTCCGCCACATCCCTCCCCTTTGCCCCTTCCCCCTGCCCACCCTCAACCTCTTCTTTCCCAACCCGCGGAACCCGTTCCGCCTGCGCGGCTTCTGGCGAAAGCTCCGCGTCACTCCCCTGCGCGGGAACGGGCAGAGCCGCCGCGACATCCCGCCGCTGCGCGGGAATTGGCGGAACGGGCGGAAGCTCCGCGCCATTCCGCTGCGCCGGACAAGGCGAGAATCGCCGCGCGTAGCACCGGAAATGCGGCGGGCCGTCCCGCGGATTCTCGCGCGCAAGTGACCCGCATGTACCCGTTATAAGGCGCATGCAGTCCCGCAAGTCCATTTCCGATGTATCGCTATCACCCTACCAGACGTGAACTTACTCTCGCGGATTGGCGTGGGGCGGTACCGTCGGGGCGATGCGGAACGGCGCAGCAATGAGGAACGGCGCAGCAACGCGGAACGGCGCAGCAACGCGGAACGGCGCAGCAATGCGGAACTGCGCAGCAATGCGGAACGGCGCAGCAACGCGGAACGGCGCAGCAATGCGGTATTGACGGGGCGATGCGGAACGGCGCAGCGTATATACTCTATCACATCCGCAGTGTACTCTATATTCTTATTACACCCGCAGTGGCGCCACCTTACTAACGGTTTCGTACTATCACACCCGCGCGCTATACCTAGCCCCGCGCAATGCAGCGCATACTCTATCACACCCGAAACGGCGCCTCGTTACTAAGAGTAAAGTAATATCACACCGCGCGCTATACCTGGCCCGCGCAATGCAGCGCATACTCTATCCGCTTACGCGCTATACTCCTGACAATCACATTTATGTCCCGTTGCACTTCCAAGACCTAACCCGTTCAAGCTGCCCGCAGCGCAACTAGAAGTATCCGTTGCGTTGAGCATAGAAACTGGGCGGAACGCGAGTGATACGAAATTGGCGCCCAATAATAGTTGCGACATTGGCTACCCCGCGTTAGAAATTGCTGGGGTAGAAAACATTCGCAAAAGCATTTGGTACAGATACATATACAAACTCTATTCAAACAGTCTGAACCTTTTGAGAGGATGAAATTCGAGCTACAGTACCTACATCACTTAAACTAGCTCATAGTAAGATTTAGCATTTTCAAGAGCGAAATTATCCAGGCACTAAAGAAGCAAAGAATAACAGATCAGGCCACACAACCTCCTGTACAAGATGCAATACACTAGGAGCGTTCCATGATGACAAAAGGGTTTTGAGACGTTGAGCTGAGATGTCTAGAAACTAACACGCAGTGCACCGGGAGCACTCCTTGTAGTGCATTGCCAAAGCACAAACATAGAGTAACGAACTCCTCCTATGGATGCCCGGCTTCTCCAATCCCAATCATGACTGCATGTATGGATATCTCCTCACTGATCCCTCCCTGATGTTATACTGTACAAAGATCTTCCAATACCTGACAATTAGTTCCTCCAGCCATCCTGCAACCTCTCCCTTTTCTTCCCCGGGACCATGCTCCCTCCTCTCTTCTCCTTCCCTTCCCTTCCCTTCCCCCCGTCTAGTCACCCGCACCACCACCTCCTCCCCCTCCACTCACCACTCCTCCCTTCTCTCCGCATCCTTCTCCATCCCCCTCCCTTCCTCCACCCTATACCACACCCCCCTCCACTCCCTCCATCATTCACCCCAACCACTCTTCTCTCTCATCCTTCACCACTCCTCGCCTCCCTCCATCCCCCGCCAACCCCACCCCCTCCATATCACCCATCCCAACCCCTATTCTCGAGCCACGAGAATGTACAGAACGACGAATCAGGCGATCCCTCCGAATCTGAGTGCGCCCCTCTGCACCACTCACCACCACCTCCCTCCGCGAACCACGAGAACGCACAGAGCGACGACGCAGGCGATCCCTCCGAATCTGCATGTCTCTCTCTGCACCACTCACCACCGCCTCCTTTCCCGAACCCCGAGAACGTACAGAGCAACGATTCAGGCGATCCCTCCGTCTTCGCGTGCACCTAACCTGAAGCTCCAGGTGCTGCCTTTTTCGTTTCAGGTGGTTTTCCCTGTCATTCAGGTGCTCCTCTTGCTGCCTCAGGTGCTCCTCCTGCTGCCTCAGGTGCAACTCTTGTTGCTCCCTCTGTTCCCTTATCTGAGCCTCTTTCTGTCTCAGGTGCTCGTCCTGTTCCTTCAGTTGCTCCTCCTGCTGCCTCAGGTGTAACTCTTGCTGCTCCTTTTGTTCCCTCAAATGGTCCTCCTGCTGCCTCAGGTGCTCGTTCTGTTGCTTCAGATGCTCCTCCTGTTGCCTCAGGTGCAACTCTTGCTGCTCCTTCTGTTCTCTAATATGGTCCCCCTGCTGTCTCAGGTGCTCTTTCTGTTTGTCCAGGTGTTCCTCCCTCTGGCTCAGATGGACCTCTTCCTCCTTCAGGAGAAACTCCTTCCTCCTCAGGTGCTTCTTCTCTGTTGCCTTCAGGTGATTCCTCAGCTTGCATCGCCGCCCCTTCCTCCCCACAAAATGATGCACCTTCGTGCTCAGGTACCTCTTCTGCTGCCTCAGGTGATTTTTCAGGTAGCCTCTCCTGTAACCAGCGCCCTCCCCCTCAATGACTCCTCCAACACGCCTTCGCTTTCTCCTGTAACCAGCTCCCTCACTCCCAATGCCTCTCTCCCCCTCAACGACTCCTCCAACAGGCCTTCGCTTTCTCCTCACCGCTTCCCTTCGCAGCAACCCTCTTCTACGGGCCTCACTCGTTGCTGCACGCTCTGCACGCTCGTTGCTCCTCCACCGCTCTCGAATGCTTTGAACCGACTCAAACCCAGCCCCATTTTCCCTCACTTCCTTCCCCTTCCCCACTTCACCTCGACCATCCACGTCACACCCATCCTCCTCCTCTTCCTTCACCTCACGCTCATGCCCTCCCCCACCATCCCCAGAAGCTCCCCCCTCCCCCTTCCATCCTCCACGCGCACTCCTCCCCGCTCCCCCCCCAGGCTGCCACCTCTCCTCTCCACTCTCGGCCCCAGCCTCTCCCTCCGCTCTTCCTCCTCCAGCTGCGCTGCCCTCCCCTTGGAACGGCAGCATCACTGCCTCCCCCATGCGGACCTCCCCCCTGGGAGGAAGGAATTGGAATTGGGGTGCCCGTTCCTCTCCCCACCGCCCTCCACAATCATTTCCCTCCCCCTTAGAAGGGAGCCGATGAGGTACTAATTCCTGCTCTTCATTCCTCTCGTCCCCTCTCCTTTCCTCTTCATTCCTCATAGCATCTGCTCCCTCCTCCCCCGTCCCTCCCCCAGCCGTGCCAAAACCTTCTTGAAGCTGTGTCACTGCCCTTCCCACGCTGCTCTCCACATGGCCACACCTTTGAAGAAAGGGTAGGGGATCCTCCTCTTCGTCCCTCTCCTCCCCTCCCCTTCCTCTTTCATCTCTTTCCTCCCCTCCCCTTCCTCCTTCATCTCTTTCCTCCCCTCCCCTTCCTCCTTCATCTCTTTCCTCCCCTCCCCTTCCTCCTTCATCTCTTTCCTCCCCTCCCCTTCCTCCTTCATCCCTCTCCTCCCCTCCCCTTCCTCCTTCATCTCTCTCCTTCCCTCCCATTCCCTCTTCGTCCCTCTCCTCCCCGCTCCTTCCCTCTTTGCCCCTCACTGCACTCGTTCTCTCCTCACCTTCACGCCCCCCTTCCTGCCTAAAAGCCTCCTCGTTCCTCTCCTCCTCCCTCTTTCCCTGTTCGCCCCTCTCATCCCCCCTCGTTCCCTCTTCCCTCTCTTCCTCCCTCCTCGCCTCTTCCTCCCTCCTCGCCTCTCCTTCCTCTCCTCCCCCCTCCTCCCCTCTTCTTCCCTCTCCTCCCCCTTCCTTCCCTCTCCTTCCCTCTCCTCCCCCCTCGCCTCTTTGCCCTTCTCCTCCTCCTCCCTCCTTCCCTCTCCCTTACTGAAAAAATCACCCTCCTTCTCGCCTCCATGCCTCCCCACCTCTCCCCCATCCGCCCTTTTCCCCTTCTTCCCCTCATGCACACTCTTTACCCAACCCCCGCTCCCCACCACCCCACCAGACACACCAATCACCCTCCCTCCACTCCCCCTTTCCGTGCAATGCTGCGTACCTACAAGCCGCGCCATGCCCCCACTCCCCCCCTCCTGACAACGCTGCTTCCTTGCACGCTGCAGCTTCTCCCCTCTTCCCCCCTCTCCGCAATGCTGCTTCCTTGCATGATGCAACATGTGGTCTCGACGCTTGAAGGTCCGAGAGCAGTGGGGATGAGGGCATGGGTGCTGGTGATTAAAGGGGGGGGGGTGGGGGGTGGGAAGAGAAAACAGGGAGAGGAAACTCAAGACGCCCTGAATAAGGCACAATGCAGCACCCTTGCATGCTGCTTCCTTGCATGATGCATCATGTGGTCTAGACGCTTGAAGGTCCGAGAGCAATGGGGATGAGGACACGGGTGCTGGTGAATACCGGAGAGAGTGGGGGTGGGGAAGAGAACAGGTAGCGGAGAATTGAACAGCACCAATTAGACCGCATCGTGGCATCCTTGCAATTAGACCAATCAGACTGCTGACGACAGTTTTTCAGTCGCTTAAGAGTCACCTCGAAGCTGCTTCCTTGCAATCAGGCCAATGGGACTGCTGACGGCAGTAAACTCCATGTCTCCTTGATAGAAGCAGAAGCAGAGCTCAAGAGAAGTTGACGACATCGTAGGAGAGGCGAGAGAGGGAGGACGGGTGAAGAAAGCAAAGGGGATGGGATGGGAAGATGCAATATGGACAGGGAGGGATGGTGGAAGGGGACGAGGACAAGGAGGGAGTGAGAGGAGAGAAAGAGGAGGAGCGAGAGAGGAGGAAAAGGGAGAGGAAAGGAAATAGGGAGAAGAGGAACGGGGGCAGGGGGGAGCCGCAAGGAGAAAAGGGGAATGGAGAGGGAGGTGGGGAGCGAGGAGGAGAGAATGAGAGAGGAAAACTTACCCGGGGGGCATTAGGGTTGTGCACTAGAAGGTGCCTCGTCAACCAGCAGTTGAGTGCGAATGCCTTTGGGCAATTTTCATGAGGACACACGAACTGCAGTGGACGAGGGAAGGAAGCAAGAACATTTGCGCCTATTCTTTGACCCATTTTCATGCGGACGGACACACCAACTGATGCAGTGGAAGCGACGAGGCAATGAGGGAACATGCGGACGAGGGGACGAGGGTAAGACAGACAGGAAAACATGTCGAGCCAGGATCACAGACAAGGCGCCCAGAGGGTGTGTGAGAAAGGGAGAGGATGAATGAGTGTGTGAGCAAATGAGCGAGCAAAGTGAGTGAGTGGTCGAGAGAGCGAGAGATTTGATGAGTGAGTGAGTGGGAGAGTGGGAGAGTGAGAGAGTGAGAGAGTGAGTGCGGGAGAGAGAGAGTGAGAGGGTGAATGAGGGAGCGAGTGAGTGAGTGAGAGAGAGAGTGAGGGAAACACACCTGCTTTGAGTGGGTGGCCATGTGTTTCTTGAACTTTGCCTTTTGAGAAAACGCAATCCCACACTCCTCACAATGCAGCATCTTTGCATGCCGCACCATGTTGCCTCGACGACTGAATGTCCAAGAGCAGAGGGGATGAGGGCATGGGTGCTGGTGGTTTGGTGGTGGGAGGTGGGGGGTGGGGATAGAAAACAGGGAGAGGAAACACAAGACGCCTTGATAAAGCCCCAATGCAGCATCTTTGCATGCCGCACCATGTTGCCTCGACGACTGAATGTCCACGGGCAGTGGGGATAGGGCATGGGTGCTGGTGATTGCGGGGAGGGTGCGGCCGGGGATAGAAAACAGGGAGGGCACATACAAGCCGCAATTCTTGAAGGGGACGGGGAAGTGGACAAGGATTATAAGGGAGCGAGAGGAGAGGAAGAGGAAAAAGGAAAATGCTGGGAAAGGAAAAAGGAAAGGATTATGAGGGAGCGAAGGAAAACAAAAGGGAGCCACAATTTTTGAAGGGGACGGGGAAGTGGACAAGGATTATGAGGGAGCCAGAGGAGAGGAAGAGGAAAAAGGAAAAAAAAAAAAAGAGGGGGAGAGAACGAGGGCAGCTTACTTGGGGGGCATTGGGGAAGATGCTGGGGTTGTCAACTTGTGGAAACGGAGAAGGGGGCAGGGGAAGGGGGGAGAGGGGGGAGAGGAAGGGGACAGAGGGGGGAGAGGAAGGGGGGAGAGGGGGAAGAGGAAGGGGACAGAGGGGGGAGAGGAAGGGGGGAGAGGGGGGGGAAGAGGGAGGAATGGGATTTGGAAGGAGAGAAGGAGCGAGAGAAGCTCACCTGGGGGGCATTGGAGTTGTGAAGGAGAAGATGATCCTTCAACTTGTACTTGAATGCGAAAGCCTTTTGGCAGTTGGCATGTGGACAGACGAACTGCAGTGGACGGGGCATTGAAGGGACGGAAAAAGGAATTGTAGAGAAACAGCTCGCACCTATTCGACCGCACTGCTGCTTCCTCGGATGCTGCTTCCTTGGCAATTGGCATGTGGACAGACGAACTGCTAAGGACGAGGCAAGAAGGGATGGAGGGGACTGAACGAGAATTAAACGAGTGGGAAAGTGTGAGTTGAAGGGAGAGAGTGAGTGAGTGTGCGAGTGAGTGAGTGAGTGAGTGAGTGATGGAGTGAGGGAGGGAAGCACACACACACCTTCTTCGAGTGGGTGGCCATGTGATTCCATAACCTTGCCGACAGAGGAAACGCCTTTCCACACTCCTTACACGTGTAGTCATGCCCAACCCTCCCCCTCTCCTTCTTCCCCTTCCTCTCCCCTTTCTCCTTCTCCTTCCCCTCCCCACTCTCCTTCCCCTTCCCCTTTGGCTTCCCCTTCTTCACCTTACCTGCCCCCCTCTCTCCCTCCTGACCCTCCACCTCCCTTGTCGGCCGTGTACGTTTTTCCCTCTCCTCCCCACTTTTACAGAGGAACTCATTAATATCACACACTTTACCACCAAAATCTCTGCTCTCTCCCACTGTCACTTCCCAAACACCCTCCTCGTCCTCTCCTACCCACTCCACATTGCCCTCATCCCCATCCCCATCTTCCCCCACCTCTCCCCCCTCCCGCACCTCTTCCCCAACTCCCATTCGACCCTCCCCCATCCCACCACCATCACCCGCCAGCACTCCTCCCACCCTCCCACCACCCCATAACCCCCTCCTGCCACCTCCCCCGCGGCATCCCCCTGTTTCCACCGTATCCCTCCCCTCTTCCCCTCCCCCCTGCCCAGCTTCCCCTGCTGCTCCCCCAACCCGCGGAACCTCTTCCGCCCGCGCGCCTTCAACCGCAGCCTCCGCGCCATCCCCCCGCGCGGGAACAGGCGGAACGGGCGGACCGTGCAGGACGGGCCAAACCGGCACAACCCCCCTCGCATTCCGCCTCTGCGCAGGAACAGGCGGAAGCTCCGCGCGATTCCGCTGCGCCAGGCGAGGCGAGAACCGCCGCGCGTAGCATCGCAGAGGCGGGGGGGCGTTCCGCGGATTCTCAAGTCCGAGAATCACGCTGATGCCCGTTGGAAGGGAATCGCGTGGTACGACAGCCGCGCCGATGCCCGTTGGAATTTCGCTTGCATCCCGCCGCGAGTCCATCACGAATCTGCCGTCCGTTCCACGTGGGAGTAATTCCCGCCCTCTCGCAAGCAGCCTAGCACCCTACTAGACGTGATTTGCTATTTCCCGAGGTGACTTGCGAGTCGATCACCAGTCAACTACACTGTGAAAATATTTTCCCGCATAAAAAGCGTGTTTCTATCACACTGGCGCGGTTTAATCGCCTCCGCTACGCCGCTCTGCACTAGAATCCCGCTCGTTCGATTTTTTAGGCGCCTCAAGATTCCCGCTCGTGCGACCACGCACCGCGCCGTGCATCAAACATGACCCCGCACTCTCCCGATATGCCCCTCCTCTCTAACATATATTCTCCCCCTCCCCCTCGCACTCTAGCGGGAAACGATAAGAACGCTGATGGGAAAGAAACGGGACCGTTTCTGTCTGTTCGAGGCGAACGGCCGTGCCAAATCGCGCAATTTTCGAAATTCGCACCCCTCTTGCCAGCAAAAGCTGGGACGAGAATTCCCTGCCATGGGGGTGGCGAATTGTTACATCAGGGCTCCGACATTGGCTGCCCGCACTAATGGCGCAGGTGAAGAAAACAATTTGGAAATGTGAATTCCATATATACATATTTACACGTTTCTGTACAACGTAATAGATTTATGGAAGGGGGAGCAAGGGAGATAGTGAGGTACGTACATCACATACCACTCAAATTTCTTGAAATAAAAAATGTCAAATATTCGTTTTTGTGTAAATATCTTGTTTCGCATGACATTACAAAACTCTTATTTTGTTTCGCATTACATTACTTTGTATAAATAATTTGTTTCGCATGCATACTTATATACTGCTAACTTTGTTCATATGGTTACGCCAGGGTGGGGCACGTGGGGTGCAGGGTGCTTCTCCTGGTTGTCTCCTGCATTCCCCCCCGCCTTCCTCCAACCTCTCCCCTTCCTCCCCCAAAACCATGCTCCATCCTCTCTCTCTTCTCCTTTCACCACCACCCCCACCTCCTCTCCCTCCACTCACCACTCCCTTGTTTTCTCAATTCTTCACCATACCCCCCCCTCCACTCCCTCCATCTTTCACCCCACCATTCTTCTCTCTCATCTTTCACCACCCTCCCTCCTCATCCCTCTCCTCAACCCCACCCTCCAAACCACAAGTACATACACAACAGCAACCCAGGCGATCCTTCCGAATCTGTGTGCGTCTCACCTGAAGCTCCAACTGCTGCCTCTTACGCTTCAGGTGCTCCTCCTGCTGCCTCAGGTGCTCGTTTTGTTGCTTCAGGTGCTCTTCCTTCTGCCTGAGGTGAATCTCTTCCTCCTCCAGAATCTCTTTTTCTTGCTCCAGGTGCCCCACCTCTGTTGCCTTCAGGTGTTTCCTCAGCTTGCATCGGCAACCTCTCCTCCCCAGAAAGAAATGTACCTTCGTACTCAGGTACCTCTTTGGCTTCCTCAGGTGACTTCTCAGGTGGCTTTTCCTGGAACCAGGCCCCTCCTCTTCCACTCCTCCAACACGCCTCCTCTTTCTCACCGCCTCTCTCCTTGTAAATCCCTCCCCTCGGGGTGCGCCAGCTGGTGCTGCACGCTCGTGGCTCATCCACTGATCTTGAACGCTTTGTGCTGACTCGAAGCAAGTCCTTCTTTCTGCATCACGCCTGTTTCTCTTGCACCCTTCCTGCATGCTTCTGTGCGCCTTTTGGTGCTCCTCCACTTGCTCCTCCTCCTCTTGCTGCTCCTCCTCTTTCTCCTCCTCCTCTTTCTCCTCCTCCACTTGCGCCTCTTCCTCTTGCTGCTCCTCCTCTTTCTCCTCCTCCTCTTTCTCGTCCTCCACTTGCTCCTCCTCCTCTTGCTGCTGCTCCTCTTTCTCCTCCTTCTCTTTCTCCTCCTCCACTTGCTCCTCCTCCTCTTGCTGCTGCTCCTCTTTCTCCTCCTTCTCTTTCTCCTCCTCCAATTGCTCCTCCTCCTCTTGTTTCTCCTCCTCCTGTTGCTCCTCCTCTTGTTGCACCTCCTCTTCCTGCTCTTCCTGTTGCTGCACTCCCTCTTGCTCCTCCTCCTCTTGCCCCACTCCCTCTTGTTTCTCCTCCTCTTGCCCCACTCCCTCTTGTTTCTCCTCCTCTTGCCCCACTCCCTCTTGTTTCTCCTCCTCTTGCCCCACTCCCTCTTGTATCTCCTCCTCTTGCCCCACTCCCTCTTGTTTCTCCTCCTCTTGCCCCACTCCCTCTTGCTCCTCCTCCTCTTGCCCCACTCCCTCTTGCTCCTCCTCCTCTTGCCCCACTCCCTCTTGTTTCTCCTCCTCTTGCCCCACTCCCTCTTGTTTCTCCTCCTCTTGCCCCACTCCCTCTTGCTCCTCCTCCTCTTGCCCCACTCCCTCTTGCTCCTCCTCCTCTTGCCCCACTCCCTCTTGCTCCTCCTCCTCTTGCCCCACTCCCTCTTGTTGCACCTCCTCTTGCTGCGCCGCCGTGGTTTGGGGCGCCTCACAACTTGTGTGCGCCTCACAACTTGTGTGCGCCTCACAACTTGTGTGCGCCTCACAACTTGTGTGCGCCTCACAACTTGTGTGCGCCTCACAACTTGTGTGCGCCTCACAACTCGTGTGCGCCTCACAACTCGTGTGCACCTCACAACTTGTGTGCGCCTCTTGCTCACCCGCCGCATCTTCCTCCTTCCTTCCATCCATGTCCTCTCTTTCCCTCTCCCACTTCCCTCTTTCCTCTGCCCTGTCTCTTACTCCCCCTTCCTCTTTCCCCTTCCCTCCTCCCTTTTCCTCTTCCATCGCCCCTCCTCCTCCTTCATATGCCCTCTCCCATCCTCCTCTATCCTCTGCCCTACCCCCCTCCTCCTCTGATTCTTCTCTACCCTCTTCTTGCCCCCTCCAATCGTTACCTCTCTCCCCACATATCCCCACCGTCCTTTCTTCCACCAACCCCTCAGCTTCTCCAGCCAAACTACCTTCTCCCAACCCCCCACTTTCTCCCAACCCCAAATCTTCCCTCACTTCCTCCCCCGCCTCCTCCCCAACTTCCTCCTCTTTCCCCATTCCATCTGGACCATCTTCCTCACACGCATCCTCCTCTTCCTCTTTCTCACACTGATTCAATTCCCCACTTCCCATGCCGCCCTCCCCCTCGGGACGGACGGGAAGCGGTGCTCGCTCCTCGTCTTCCCTCACAGCATTGGTTCCCTCCTCTTCCCTCCCCTCCCCACTCTCCCCTTGAAGCCAGACCACTGTCATTTCCACACCGCTCTCCCCCCATCTCCCCCCCACAGAAACCAAATGAGCTCCTTCCTTCTCATCTTCCCTCACAGCATCGCCTTTCCCCTCCTTTCTCCCTCTTCCAACCGCGGCACCATCTACCTGAAGCCGGTTCATTGCAAAACCCACCACACCGTCTTCCCTGAAAAGGACCGGATGCGCTCCTGTCTCCTCGTCTTTCCTCACTGCATCAGCTCCCCCCTCCCCTCTCCCTCCTCCAACTGCGATCCCCTTTTCTTGCAACTGCCACATTGCCTTCTCCACATTGCCCCCCCCCTTCCTCTCCTCTTCATCCCCCTCCTCCTCCCACCCTCCCTCTTCATCCCTATCCTCCCTTCTCCTTTCCTCTTTCCCACTCACGTCAGTCATTTCCGTCTCACCTCCATGCTTCCCTTCTTCCCTGTAAGCCCCTTTGTCCCTCTCCTCCCCTGTCCTTCCCTCTTCTCCCTTCTCCTCCCCCTTCCTTCCCTCCTCTTCCCTCTCCTCCCCAATCCTTCCCTCCTCACCCTTGTCGATCCCCTTCACTCCCTCTTCATCCCTCTCCTCCCCCCTCCTTGCCTCTTCCCCCCTCACAGCACTCGCTTCCTTCTCCTCTCCATGCTCCCCTTTCTCCCTAGTAGCCTCGTCGTTCCTTTCCTCCTCCCACCTTTCCTCCTCCCACCTTTCCATCTCCCGTCTTTCTTCCCGCACAGGAAGTGACAGGGGTACTTCTTTCTCTGCATCCATCTCCTCCCCTCCCCCTCCCTCTTCATCCCTCTCCCCCCCCTTCCTCCCCTCTTCCCCACTCACAGCACTCGCTTCCTTCTCCCCTCCATGTTCCCCTTTCTCCCTAGGAGCCTCTTCGTTTCTCTCCTCCTCCCATCTTTCCTCCTGCACAGGTAGTGACAGGAGTATGTCCCCCGCTGCATCCATCTCCTCCCCTCCCCTTCCCTCTTCATCCATCTCTCCCCTTCCCTCTTCATCCCTTTCCTCCCCTCCCCTTCCCTCTGTGAGAGAAAGCGACAGGGGTACTTCCCCCTCTCCATCCATCTCCGCCCCTCTCTTTCCCTCTTCTTCCCTCTCCTCCCTGCTCCTTCCCTCTTCTCCACTCACATAAGTTGATTGCCTCTCACCTCCATGCTCGCCTTTCTTTCTGAAAGCCTCTTCGTTGCTTTCCTCCTCCCCCCTCTCCTCTTCGCCCCTCTCCTCCACCCTTCTTTCCTCCTCGTCCCTCTCCTCCCCTCTCCTTCCCTCATCTTCCCGCTCCTCCTCCCACCTTCCCTCTTCGTCCTTCTCCTCCCCCTTCCTTCCCTCTTCCCCACTCACAGCATCAGCCCTATTCTCGCCTCCTCGCCTCCCCACTGCTACCCCATGCGCCCTCTTCCCCCGCTTCCCCCAACGCACACCCCTTACTCCGCACCCGCTCCCCTCGCCAAACACACCAATCACCCCGCCTCCCCCACTCCCCATCACCCCCCAATGCTGCTTCCTCGCATGCCGTACCATTTCGCCAATCCCTCCCTGCCCCCTATGCACCGTCCTTGCATGCCGCACCATGTTATATCGGCGCTTGAATGTCCAAGAGCAGTGGGGATGAGGGCATGGGTACTGGCGATTGCGGGGGCAGGGAGAGGGATAGAGAGAGCATGGGTATTGGTGATTGCGGGGGCAGGGAGAGGGATGGTGAGAGCATGGGTACTGGTGATTGCGGGGGCAGGGAGAGGGATAGAGGGAGCAAGGGTATTGGTGAGGCTTGACGATTGGATGGGGGGAGAACACAGGGAAACCAAGGCAGGGTGCCGGGAAGGAGAAACACATTCGCGTACAGGGATAATATGTTTGCTTTTAATCCGTTTGCTAGATATAAGTAATCATAGAAAATCCTGTAACAAGGAGAGGCGAGTGAAGACAGGAGTAAGCAACGGTGAAGGAAAAAGGAGAGGACGGAGTAAGAGGAACGCAAGGGAAACCCACCTGAGCAGCATGGAGGGAAACCCACCTGAGGAGCATTTGGAGGGAAACCCACCTGAGGAGCATTTGGGTCGTGAATAATCAAGTGCCTCTGTAAGAGGTAATCCGATGCAAAATCCTTCTTGCAGTCAGCATGTGGGCACACGAACGACGTCTGCAGCCGGGGAGGAGAGAAATGAGGACAGTGACAGATGAGCAGCAGCCGGGAAGAGGAAAGAAAGGTTTTGGGCGAAATGGGCTGCTTGCATGTGAATGAATGAACACACGGAGGAGCTCTGAAGCGGAAGGGGCGATAGGAGAGAACGGGAGGACGAGGCGAGGGAAGAGATGCAAGTGAAGATGGGAGGATGCAGTAGGAAAGGGGATAAGGAGAGATAGAGGAACGCCAAGAGGAAGAGGAAGAGGAAGAGGAAGAGGAAACAAGGAAAGAGGATGGTGTAAAAAGGGAAGGCAGAAGGCTGATTATATAAAGGGGAAGGAATAGGGGGGTGGGGGGGAGGGGGAGAGCAAGATAAATCCACCAGGGGAGCATTTGGGTTGTGCACGATCAAGTGCCTCTGTAACTTGTAATCTGATGCAAACACATTCAGGTTGAAGAGTAGAGAAACGCCACGAACGACCGACCCCTGCTGCTGAAGAGAGGGAGAGAGGAAGTGCGGGAATGAGGGAGTGAGCAAACCACATTACGAACTACCGACCTCTGCAGCTGAAGAGGAGAGAAACGAGAGGATTCAGGGCAGTGGCAGAGGGGCAGAGGGGCAGGCAGACAGAGGAAAGAAGTGAGTGGAGCGCCAGCAGGGTGAGTGCCTGCATAGACACAAACGACCTCTGTAGTGAAGAGAAGAGAGAGGATTCAGGGCAGTGGCAGCGGGACGGCCAGGCAGGACGCGGAAAGAAGTGACCTGAACTCCTCCACCGGCTGCTTGCATGTGAATGAACAAACACACAAAGGAGCAGAAGGGAGTGAGTGAGCATGCAGCAGTAAGGAAGTGAGGAAGTGATGGAGAGAGGGAGTGAGGAATCGGAGGAGTGAGCGAGTGAGGGAATGAGGAGCATTTGTTTTCTTAACGTTTCCCTCCGGAAAAAGCGCCTTGTCACACTCCTCACACACGAAGGACTGGGTTGTTGATCTCACCTCTGCCGCCCTCCCTCCTCCACCATCACTGTTCTCCCCGTGAATCTGCACCGCTGCTCCTATTATGCTGCCCTTCTTCTCACGCAGGGATTGAGATGCTGCTTCATGCTCTGCTTCTCCCTTCTCTGCTTCTCCCTGCTCTGCTGCTCCCTGCTCTTTCTCCCTCCCTCCTCCACCATCTCTCCCCTCCCATTGAAGCGGCATCACAACCCTTCTTATGTTGCCCGTATAGGGGCTAGGTAAGGGCTGGAATCCTTCCTGTTCTTTTTCCTCCTCTTGCGGCTGCCTCACTGCCCATTTCACGGTGCCGTCCCTGGACAGGAGAGTTGTCACTCCCTCCTCTTCATCCCTCTCCTCCCTTCCCCTTCTCCCTACATCCCCCTCCTCCCTCCTTTTCTCTTCATCCCTCTCCTCCCTTTCCCTTCCTCCTTCATCCCCCTCCTGCCTCCTCCTTGCCTCTCCATCCCTCTCCTCCCCTTTCCGTACCTCGCCCCTATCCACACCCTTCCGCTTTCCTTCACATTCCTCCCCTCTCTCTCCCTCTCCTTCGTTCCTCTCCTCCTTCTCTCTCCCTCCTCGCCCCCTTCGTCCCCCCTCCTTCCACTTCCGTCCCTCTCCTCCCTCTTCTCTCCCGGCTCCCCCCTCACAGCATCAGACCCCTTGACTCCACACCTCCCCACCGCTCCATTACGCGCTCTCTTCCCCTTCTTTCCCCACACCCTCAGTTCATTGGCTAGCCCAGCGATATTGAAGCTGCTCCTAGTCCTCCGCTCCCCACTCCTAGTCCTCCGCTCCCCACACGAAACACCAATCACCCCGCCGCTGGTCCCTCCTTCCACACACTGTTCCATCCTTTCACGCTTCATCTTCTCCCCACTCCCCCCCTCCCAGCACTGCTGCCTCCTTGCATGCTGCAGCCTCTCCCCTCTCCCCCACTCCCCGCAGTGCTCCGTCCGTACATGGCACACCATCGCATCGGCTTCCCCGATGAGTGAGGACCCGTGGGACCTCACATACATGGCACACCATCGCATCTCGGTACTTGAAGGTTCGGGTGCAGTGCGGATGATGAGGGCACGGGAGCTGGTAGTTGGAGGGGAGAGTGAAGGTGGGGAGAGAAAACAGAGAGAGGAAATTGAGGGGATGGGAGCTGGTAGTTGGAAGGGGGAGTGAAGGTGGGGAGAGAAAACAGAGCTGGTAGTTGGAGGGGGGAGTGAAGGTGGGGAGAGAAAACAGAGCTGGTAGTTGGAGGGGGGAGTGAAGGTGGGGAGAGAAAACAGAGCTGGTAGTTGGAGGGGGGAGAATGCGGGAAAATGAGTGGGATGAGTGGGATGAGAACCAGGAAATCTCACCCGAGGGGCGTTGGGTTGGTGAACTAGAAGGGGCCTCGTTAGCCGGTATTGATCAGCGAACGCTTTTAGGCAACTCGCGTGTGGACATGCAAACGGCCGCCGCTGCAGAGCAGAAGGTAGGGGTAATGAGGAGCAATCGTGGGCAGAGGTGCAGGCGGTTAGAGGGGACAGTGAGTTGAAGGGCTTCAGGCAACCCACACGCGGGCACACAAACGACTGCTGCTGCAGAAGGGGGCATGAGGGGCGATCGTGGGCAGGGGTGCAGGCAGTAAGAGAGGAATGTAAATAGGCTTCTGAAGGGTGACATGTTCTCAAAAGACACACGCTCGAAAATTCTCAACAAACACAGGGGTGCAGGGCGGTAAGAATGGAATGTAAATAGGCTTCTGAGGCGCCTCAAGAGGTGCAGGGCAGGCGGTAAGAGGGCAATGTAAGTAGGCACAGTTAGGTGCTATATTCGAAAAGTCACTCGAATGTAAGTAAGCACTTATAGGTGCCTGGTTTTCCAGTAATTCTTGACAAACGCCTTGGACAAGGAAAGATCACCTCAGAAGCATTGTGTTTGTGCACAAGAAGGTGCCTTGTTAGCAAATCGGTCACCAAAAACTTGGGCAAATGGGGGAGAATGAAAGGGGGTGAGGACAAGGAAAGCTCACCCGAGAAGCATTGGGTTTGTGCACAAGAAGGTGCCTCGTTAGCCGGCAATTATTGGCAAAGGCCCTGTTGCAACCCACCCGCGGGCACACAAACGACCTCTGCTGCAAAAAGGGGGCATGAGAGGGGAAAGTGAGTTAAAGGCGTTGTGGCAACCCCCCCGCGGGCACACGAACGAACTCTGCTGCAGAAGGGGGGACCAGGGGGCCAATTGTGGGCAGAGGGGCAGGCCGTTAGTGGGTAAAGTGACTTGAAGGCCTTGAGGCAACCCACACGCGGCCTTCGCTGCAGAACGGGCAACGGGGCCGGCGGTAAGAGGGGCAGGCAATAAGAGGTGCAGGCGGCAAGAGGGGCAGGCAATAAGAGGTGCAGGCGGTAAGAGGGGCAGGCAATAAGAGGTGCAGGCGGTAAGAGGGGCAGGCAATAAGAGGTGCAGGCGGTAAGAGGGGCAGGCAATAAGAGGTGCAGGCGGCAAGAGGAGCAGGCAATAAGAGGTGCAGGCGGCAAGAGGGGCAGGCAATAAGAGGTGCAGGCGGTAAGAGGGGCAGGCAATAAGAGGTGCAGGCGGCAAGAGGGGCAGGCAATAAGAGGTGCAGGCGGCAAGAGGGGAAACTGAATGAATGCCGCCTGGCTGTTCACATGCCAACACAGAACCGTCCTTTGCAGCGGAACGGGGAGTGGGGGACAGGAGAGAGGGGACGAGGGGGAAAGACGGGGAAACACAGCAGGGGCAGACGGGAAGAGTGGAAGGCCGAGGGGTAGTTTTCTAGTTGACTTGAAAGCCACTAGAGCCGGCACTAATGTGTGTGAGGGAAGGAGAGCGTGAGTGCGTGAGTGAAGGGGAAAGGGGGGGAGGGGGGAGAGGTGGGTGACTGCGTGAGTGAATGAGCTCACGAGTGGGCGAGTGAGTGAGTGAGTGAGTGAGGAAAACGCACCTGCTTTGAACGGTGCTTCGAATAGGTGCCCAGGTGCTTGCCTAAAGTCGCCCACCGACCAAACGCCTTCCCACATTCTTTGCACACATAGCGCTTCTCACGAGCCCCCTCCCCTATCTCCTCCTCCCTCTCACTCCCCTCCTCCCTCTCCCTCTCCTCTTCTCTCTCTCTCTGCTTCGTCTTCCCCTTCCTCTTCTCCTTCTCCACCGTTCTTTTCCCTTCCTTTCTCCCTCTTCCTTCCTTCCTTCCCTTCCTCGTTAAGCATTCCTTCTCCTTGCCACTCCCACCAGAAAACTCGTTAATATCCCGCCACCTGTTGTCCCCTATTGGAACTTCCACCACATCATCATCCTCCTCTCCTTCCTCACACTCTCTCCCACACTCCCTCTCACTCTCCCTCTCACACCCCCCCACACGCTCCACCCCACACTCCCCTACACACTCCTCCACACACACCACTTCATACTCCTCCCCATCCCCATCTTCATTTACCTCTTCCCCCTCCCGCACCTCTTCCCCCTCCCGCACTTCTTCCCCCTTCCGCACCTCTTCCCCCTCCCGCACCTCGTTCCCCAGCCCCACATATCCCCCTTCCCCAATCTCTATCCCCATCCCCACATCGTGGCCTTCCCCCACCTCTTTCCCCCTTGCATGTAACTCTCTCGCCCATTCCCGTCCTCCCTGTAACCCGCAAACCCCCACGCGACAACCCCCCATCCCACCACCGACCCCCCCCATCACCGCTCCCTCTGACTCACCGCCCCATAGCCCCTCCCCGGCGTGCTTCCCGCCGCCCTCCCCACCGCCCTCCCCGCGGCATCCCCCTGCTTCCACCACATCCCGCTTCTTCCCCCCTTCCCCCTGCTCATCCTTAACCGCTTCTCCCCCGACCCGCGGAACCCGTTCCGCTTGCGGGGCTTCAAGCAAAAGATCCGCGTCATTTCCCTTTGCGGGAACGGGCGGAACGGGTGGAACCGGCGGAACCGCCGCGTCATGCTGCAGCTGCGCGGCAACAGGCGGACCCTCCGTGCCATTCCGCTGCGCGAGACGAGGCGGAAGCCGCAGGGAGTAGAACCGGAAAGGCGGCGGGCCGTCCGGCAAATTCGCGCCTTCGAGTGACCCGCCGATACGCGTTACAAGGCGCATGGAATCTTGTACCGTTACCCGCAAGTCCATTCCCAGCCTCTCTCCAGCACGCTTCTAGACGTTAATTTTACTCCCGCGGCTTGGCGCGGTACCGATGGGGCAATGCGGACCCGCGCAGTGTGCTCTATACTACAGTAGTACTGTCGCACCCGCACGGCGCCCTCTTACTACAGGCACAGTAACTTGCGGAACGGCGCAGCGTACCCTATGCTCTATCACTCTCGCAACGGCGCCCTCTTACTACAGGGACAGTATTATCACACCGGCGGTTATTTATCCCCGCGGCTTGGCGCGGTGCTGACGAGGCAATGCGGAACCGCGCAGTGTACTCTATACTTTATCGCTCCCGCGACGGCATCCCCTTACTAACAGGTACAGTACTATCACACCAGCGCTCATATATTCCCGCGGATTGGTGTGGTACTGACGGGGCAATGCGGAACCGGCCCAAGCACGCCCGCAACGGCGCCCCTTTACTGCAGGTACAGCTATATCACACCGGCGTTTCTTTACTCCTGGCACTTATTCCCGAGGATTGGCGGGGCACCGGCGGGGCACCGGCGGGGCACCGGCGGGGCACCGGCGGGGTGATTTTTGAGTCGACTCAAAAATCAATTCTTTACTCCTGGCACTTATTCCCGAGGATTGGCGGGGCACCGGCGGGGCATTGCGGAACGAACGCAGCAGTATACTCTATACTTCGCTCCCGCAACGGCATCCCCTACTAACAGGTACAGTAGTATCACACTAGCGTTTCTTAATTCCCGCGGATTGGCGGGGTATCGATGGGGCAATGCGGAACCGACGGGGCAATGCGGAAAGGCGCAATGTGCTCTGCACTCTATCACACCCGCAGCGCCACCCCCTTACTAAACGGTACAGTAACATCACACCCGCGCGGTATTCCAAACCAAACCCCGCGCAATGCAGCACTTACCGTATCCGCTCACGCGGTATACTCTGTCGGTCAAATATAACTTCTCTTGCACGTGGTATACCCAACCCGTTCAAGCGGCCCGCAGCGCAGCGAGAATCTCGGAAGGTGAGGTGTTGGCGAAGCGCGAACGGGATGCTGTAAAACTGCAGGGTGTGAACAAATGCTAGGAAATTGGCGCCCCAAAATGGTTGCGATTCGCGACATTGGCTGCCCCACGATTTGCCATGTTTCCTAAGCGCTGGGATAGAAAACATCCTCAAAGAAATTGCAACAGAAAAGTATGCACGCTTTTTCAAACAATTCTCTATTTGTGAGGGGAGGAATGGAGCTCCCTCCCTTCATCATACAAGCGAGCTCGGTTCAAGAAAAAACAAATGCTGAAACTGGCGTAAGACATTGCCTTGCATGCCATCATGACGCAAAACATTTATAACTTACTCATTTTATTCACATGATTAAGGCAAAGCGGGGCACATTGAGGAGTTGTATTGTATCCCTCCCCCACTTGTCCCCTTTCTGCTGCTTCAGCCCATGGGGCAGAGCCGGCACTTCCTCTCCCTTCACTCACCACACCACCACTCCTCCCTTCTCTCTTCATCCTTCACCATCCCCCTCCAGTCCATCCATCTTTCACCTTAACCAGTCTTCAATCTCATCTTTCACCACCCTCCCTCCTCTCCACCCGTCTACCCCTCCTCTCCCTCCATCAAACCCTCCTCTCCCTCCATCTTCCGCCAACCCCACCCCCTCCCCATCACGCACCACAACCCCTCTTCCTCTCCCTCCATCCTCCACCATCCTCCCTCCCTCCTCATCCCTCTCCTCAACCCCTCTCCTTAAACCACAAGAACACAAACAGCTACAGCAACTCAGGCGTTGCTTCAAAATCCGCGTGCGTCTTACCTGAAGCTCCAGGTGCTGCCTCTTATGCTTCAGGTGCTCCTCCTGCTGCCTCAGGTGCTCTTTCTGTTGCTTCAGGTGTTCTTCCACCTGTTTCAGGTGGGTTTCTTCCTCCTTCAGGAGCTCCTCCTCCTGCCTCAGGAGCTTCTCCTCCTGCCTCCTGCGTTTCCTCAGCTTCCACTGGCACCCTCTCCTCCCCACATTACAGTGCACCTTTGTGCCCAGATATCTCTTCTGCTGCCTCAGGTGATTCTCCAGGTGGTTTTCCCTGCAACCACCTCCCTCCCCCTCGGCACAATCTCCTTCAACACACATTCCCTTTCTCACCGCCCCTCCCATTCGAAGCAACCCCCTTCCACAATCCCAATCCTCACGTGCTGTCGCACGCTCATGGCTTGTCCAGGGTTCTTGAATGCATCGACTTGACTCCAAACAAACCTTGTTTGTCGCATTTTCCTCTTCAGCATGCCGCTTCCTCTTCCATCTTTCCTGCACGCATCTCTGCACCTCTTGCTTACTCCATCTTCCTCCCTCTTCCTCCTCACCTATTTTTCCTTCCTCTTCCCTCTCCCTTCCTCGCTTTTCCTTTTCCCTCTCCCCTTCTTCTTCCTTCTCCCTTTCCCATTCTCCTTCCTCTTCCCTCTCTCCTCCTCCCTTTTCCACTGCCCTCTCCCCTCCCCCACTTCCCTCTCCCTTACCCCTCTCTTCCTCTGCTTCTCCTCCTCCCTCTTCCTGTCCCCTCCAATAATCCCCGCTTCCCCCACAAATCCCTTCTGCTCCATCTTCCACCAACTGCCAACTTTCCCCCACGTATCCCTTCTTCTCGTCTCCCTCCTCTGCTGCATCCTCCTCTCCCTCCTCCGCTCCCTCCTCTGACCCCTCCTCCTCTCCCTCCTCCTCTCCCTCCTCCGCTCCCTCCTCCGCTCCCTCCTCTGCTCCCTCCTCTGCTCCCTCCTCTGCCCCCTCCTCTGCCCCCTCCTCTTCTCCCTCCTCTGCTCCCTCTGCTCCCTCCTCTGCTCCCTCCTCTGCCCCCTCATCTTCTCCCTCCTCTTCTCCTTCCTCTTCCCCCTCCTCTGCTCCCTCCTCGTCTCCCTCCTCTGCCCCCTCCTCTTCTCCCTCCTCTGCTCCCTCTGCTCCCTCCTCTGCTTCCTCCTCTGCTCCCTCCTCTGCTCCCTCCTCTGCCCCCTCATCTTCTCCCTCCTCTTCTCCTTCCTCTGCCCCCTCCTCTGCTCCCTCCTCGTCTCCCTCCTCTGCCCCCTCCTCTTCTCCCTCCTCTTCTCCCTCCTCTGCTCCCTCTGCTCCCTCCTCTGCTCTCTCCTCTTCTCCTTCCTCTGCTTCCTCCTCTGCCCCCTCCTCTGCTCCCTCCTCTGCTCCCTCCTCTGCTCTTCATCCCTCCTCCTCTTCATCCCTCTCCTCCTCCCTCCTCTTCATCCCTCTCCTCCTCCCTCCTCTTCATCCCTCTCCTCCTCCCTCCTCTTCATCCCTCTCCTCCTCCCTCCTCTTCATCCCTCTCCTCCTCCCTCCTCTTCATCCCTCTCCTCCTCCCTCCTCTTCCTCCCTCTCCTCCTCCCTCCTCTTCATCCCTCTCCTCCTCCCTCCTCTTCCTCCCTCTCCTCCTCCCTCCTCTTCATCCCTCTCCTCCTCCCTCCTCTTCATCCCTCTCCTCCTCCCTCTTTCTCTCTTCATCCCTCTCCTCCTCCCTCCTCTTCATACCTCTCCTCCTCCCTCCTCTTCATCCCTCTCCTCCTCCCTCTTTCTCTCTTCATCCCTAAGGACACCACATTCATTCCTCCCTTCCTCCCTCTTTGCCTCGTCGTCCCCCACCTTCCCCCTCCTTCCCTCTTCCTCACTAGGAGTCTCTTTGTCCCCTCCCTCTTCTTCCGTCGCCTCCCCCCTTCCCTCCTCTTCCCTCTCCTCCCACCTCATTCCCTCCTCTTCCCTCTCCTCCCCTCTCCTTCCCTCTTCTCCACTTATAAAAGAAGGAAGTTGCTTCCTTCTCCTCTCCATGCCCCCCTTTCTTCCACCCCCCTTTCCTCCACCCCCCTTTCCTCCACCCCCCTTTCCTCCACCCCCCTTTCCTCCACCCCCCTTTCCTCCACCCCCCTTTCCTCCACCCCCCTTTCCTCCACCCCCCTTTCCTCCACCCCCCTTTCCTCCACCCCCCTTTCCTCCACCCCCCTTTCCTCCACCCCCCTTTCCTCCACCCCCCTTTCCTCCACCCCCCTTTCCTCCACCCCCCTTTCCTCCACCCCCCTTTCCTCCACCCCCCTTTCCTCCACCCCCCTTTCCTCCACCCCCCTTTCCTCCACCCCCCTTTCCTCCACCCCCCTTTCCTCCACCCCCCTTTCCTCCACCACCCCCCTTTCCTCCACCACCCCCCTTTCCTCCACCCCCCTTTCCTCCACCCCCCTTTCCTCCACCCCCCTTTCCTCCACCCCCCTTTCCTCCACCCCCCTTTCCTCCACCCCCCTTTCCTCCACCCCCCTTTCCTCCACCCTCCTTTCCTCCTCCACCCTCCTTTCCTCCTCCACCCCCCTTTCCTCCACCACCCTCCTTTCCTCCTCCACCCTCCTTTCCTCCTCCACCCTCCTTTCCTCCTCCACCCTCCTTTCCTCCTCCACCCTCCTTTCCTCCTCCACCCTCCTTTCCTCCTCCACCCTCCTTTCCTCCTCCACCCTCCTTTCCTCCTCCACCCTCCTTTCCTCCTCCACCCTCCTTTCCTCCTCCACCCTCCTTTCCTCCTCCACCCTCCTTTCCTCCTCCACCCTCCTTTCCTCCTCCACCCTTCTTTCCTCCTCCGCCCTTCTTTCCTCCTCCACCCTTCTTTCCTCCTCCGCCCTTCTTTCCTCCTCCTCCCTTCTTTCCTCCTCCGCCCTTCTTCCCTCCTCCGCCCTTCTTTCCTCCTCCGCCCTTCTTTCCTCCTCCGCCCTTCTTTCCTCCCCCATCCTTTCCTCCTCGTCCCTCTTCTCCTCGCTCCTCTCTCCTCCTCCCCTCTCTTCCCCCCTCCTTTCCTCCTCCCCCATGCTTTCCTCCTCGTCCCGGTTCTCTTCCCTCCTTCCCTCTTCTTCCCTCTCCCAACCGCTCCTTCGCCCTTCGCCCCTCTCCCCCTCCGTCCCTACTTCCTCATACATGTCCTCCCCTTCACTTCCCTCCTCATCCCTCTCCTCCCCCCTTTGTCTCTCTTTCCCACTCACAGAATCACCCTCCTTCTCGCCTCCATGCCTCCCTACCTCTCCCCCATGCGCTCTCTTCCCCTTCCTGCCCGCATGCACGCTCTTTACTCGCACCCCACTCCCTCTCCCTCTGCCATGCTTCCACCTTGCATGCCTTCGCATGTCCTCTTGACGCTTAAAGGTTAGAGGGCAGGGGCGATGAGTGCAGGGAATCTGGTTTTTTCCAAGGAGAGAGATGGGGGGAGGGTGGGGGGGGAGAGGGGATGTGGGAGAGGGGAGGGAAGAGAACAGGGAGAGGGAATACAAGATGCGTCAATAAAGCCACAAACCCTGCGTCCTTGCATGCGGCATGCTGCATGGTGCTATTGTGTGGGGCATGCTGCATGGTGCTATTGTGTGTGGCATGCTGCATGGTGCTATTGTGTGGGGCATGCTGCATGGTGCTATTGTGTGTGGCATGCTGCATGGTGCTATTGTGTGGGGCATGCTGCATGGTGCTATTGTGTGTGGCATGCTGCATGGTGTACCAAGGAATATTGTGATGAGTTTGGGACAAGTCGAGGAGGGAGAGGAGGAAGAGGATGACGAAAGGGAGGGAGTGAGAGGACAAAACGAGAAGAGCGAGGAAGGAGAATGGCAGAAAAAAGGGGGAGGGAAAGAGTGGAACGAGGGAAGAGGGGAGTGGTGAAAAGGGGGATAAAAGTTGAGGGGCTGCGACTTTCACCATGAGAGCAAGCAAGGGGAGCTTACTTGAGGGGCATTGGGGTCATGCACTAGAAGGTGCCTCGGTAACTGATACTTAAGGGGCAATAAAGGGGAGAGGGCGAGGGGAGCTTACCCGAGGAGCACTGGAGTCATGCACTAGAAGGTGCCTCGTTAGGCTGAAATTTGTGGTGAATGCCTTGCTGCAACCCACATGCGGGCACAGAAAAGGTTTTTCCTGCAGCAGAACAGGCAAAGAGGCAGGCGGTAAGAGGGGAAGTTGACTTGATGCCTTGACTTGACTACATAGCATGGCTTGTGGGTGTTCGCATGGAAACACCCAAACCACTTCTGCTGCAGAAGGGGCAAAGAGGCAAGCGGTGAGTGGCGAACCTGGCTTCCAGCCTTCTGGAATCACGGCAGGGACAGAGGGGAAGAGTGGAAAGACGAGCGGTAAGGGTGGAGATGGCACCAGTGCCCGTGAGGTATGTGCGAGGTATGTGCGAGGTATGTGCAAGGCAAGGTATGTGCAAGGTATGTGAGTGAAAGAGACCGTGAGTGAGTCTGTGAGCCTGTGAGTGGGTGAATGCATGAATGAGTGAGGTAGAGTAGAGAGTGGGTGAGTGCGTGAGTGAGCGAGCAGGTGAGTGGGGGAGAGTGAGTGAGTGAGCGAGTGAGTGAGGAAAACGCACCTGGGTTGAACGGCATAGCGCCTGAGCCTGCAAAAAATGGGTACCCAAGTGTGCCTTTAAAGTTGTCCGTCGACCAAAAGCCTGCCCACATTCTCCGCACACAAAACGCTCCTCCTGCCCACCCGTGCCCCTCTCCTCCTCCCTCTTCCTCTTCTTCTCCTTCCCCTTCGCCGCCCCTCCCCCCTCCCCCCTCTCCTCCTCAACCATTCCCCCCCCCTCTTCTCTCCCTTTCCCTCCCTCCCTTCGCAAACCTTCTATCTCCTTCGCACTATCAGTGTGTAACTCGTTAATATCCCGCCACCTATTGTCCCCTATTGGAACTTCCACCACATCATCATCCTCTCCTTCCTCACTCTCCGCGGCATTCCGCTGCGCCAGGCGAGGCGGAAGCCGCCGGGCGTAGCACCGAGGAGGCGGCGGGCCGTTCCGTGGATTCGTGCCGATGCCCGTTACATTCTGAGGCGCCTCAATAGCGGCTGCAAGGCCCATCACACTATCATTATCCTCCTCCTCCTCCTCCTCCTCCTCCTCCTCCTCCTCCTCCTCCTCCTCCTCCTCCTCCTCCTCCTCCTCCTCCTCCTCCTCCTCCTCCTCCTCCTCATCCTGTCTCGCTCCACACTCCCCTCCACACTCCCCACCACACTCCCCTCCGCACTCCCTCACACACTCCTCTACCCTCTGCCACACACCCCCCCTCACACAATCCCCGACCCACTCCACCTCAACCACCTCTTCATCCTCATCTCCCTCCACCCCTCCCACATCAGCCTCTCCCCCCTCCCCCACCTCTTCCCTCCCAGCATGTGACCTGCCAGCCCACCCCATTCCTCCCTCTAGCCCGCAAAACCCTTTCCCACCATCCCCCATGCGACCATCCCCAACCCCACCCATCACTCCTCTCTCCGTCCCACCACCCCATAACCCCCCTGATTCCTCCGCACCCCTTCCCTTTTCCCTCTCCCCCTGCCCAGATCCCCCCGCTTCCCTCTGCTCATATATGCCCGCTGCTCCCCCAACTCGCGGAACCCCTTCCCCCCGCGCGCCTTCACAGGCAGCCTCCGCGCCATTCCCCCGCGCAGGAACAAGCGGAACGATCGGAACGAGCGGAACGGGCGGAACGAGCGGAACAGGCGCAACTTCCGCGCCATTCCGCTGCGCCAGACAAGGAAGAAGCCGCCGGCGGTGGCACCACAGAGGCGGCGCGCCGTTCCGCGGATTCGCAATTCCTAATATTACGCCGATGCCCGTAGCAAGGCCCATGACATCATCCCGCGAGTCCATCTTGATTGTGCCGCCCTGTCTCTCTCACACCCTACTAGCCGTGATTTTCTTTTCTGGTGACTTTGTGAGTCAACTACCTGCTGTCACACAGTCAACCCGGATATCCCCCTCCCCCTAACACTCTAGCGGAAAAGTATTCGCACACTGACGGGAAAGAAACCGGACCGTCGACGCCTTCCGGTTGAGAGATACCGTGCAAGGCGACGCGGCGCGATAAATTAGCGCACGCAGTGAAGCTTGTATCGTGCCCTCGTGTGAACAACAAAAGGAGTTTCTTGAGCGTGCGGTGCAATTGGGGCTGAATAATTACTGCTGCGACATTGGCTGCCCCCGAAGAAAATAGAGCTGGTGCTAATGAACATGTGAAAATGTTTCTGTATAGCTTAGTACAGTATGTTTCTAAGAGGGGAGGGAGCCGAGGTAAAGTACTGTACATCGCATGCTCTGCTGGCTTGGATACGGAACGTTCAATATTCTTTTCGGATGTGTTGCTGGCACATGCAGAGCAAGAACTCCAAGTGCTCATTTGTATTGCTTTGTCATGCTAGGCCACATGTAGCGGGGTGCTTCTCCCGCTTGTCCCGTTTCAGCTGCTTCAGCCCATGTGGTGGAGCTGGCACGAGGCGCACAGCTCTACTCTCTCAAGACCACGTTGTCTTGTGAACCTATGCTAGTCAACCCAGAAACCATCACTTGGCTATGCCAGGGTGGGGCGTGTGGCGGGGGTGTTTCTCCCGCTTGTCCCCTTTCAGCTGCTTCAAGCCATGGGGAAGAGCAGGCATGAGAGCAGCCAGGCATTCTGACACCGCATTAGGGTTGCCAGGCAGGTTGAGGATCTGAGGGGTTCAGATGGATGGTGGGTGGGTGGGTGGGGCCAGGAGAAGAGGTTAAGCTTGTGGCTGCACCAACTTGCGGGTTGCCCATGTTACCATACCATGCATGATGCACCGATGCACCATGCATGTTATGCATGTCATGCACCCATGCATCCATGAACGCATGCTGTCATGCTATCTTACCAGAGTGGAGCCTCGGATGCCTGCAGCCATGCACAATTGCATGCTGCATCCATCCAACCACCCATGTCACCATGCATCATGCCCCCATGCCCCCATGCACCCATACCCCCATGGCCCCATGCTGTCATGCTATCTCACCAGAGTGGAGCCTCTAATGCCAGCAGCCATGCGCGAGAGCATGGCAAAGGGCGTGATCTGCATGGGAGAAACGAGAGAAGAAAAGCAGTCGATAGAACAAACAAGGGTGCGTGAGAGAAGGAAAAAAATGACACAGGGAACAAATTTGTCACCTTATATGTTGTCGAGCCTGAACATCCCACCCTCCCCTACCTTTTTTCCCTGCCCTTCCTCTCTTAAGAAAAGAGAAAGAGAAACGAAAGATATAAAAAACCCTACCCTGAGGCTCTCCTGCAGCATGGCATGGGTGAGGCCCGGTGCAGAGCGGTGGAAGAGCGGCGCACAGGCTTCAGGAGTGACATCCCGGGGAGAGAACCCCGTGCCCCCTGTCGTTATAATCACATCCACTGCTGCCACACCCGCTTCCTCACTAGTTGACACAGCAATTCCTCCCCCATCTGCCCACGCCTTAACCTGCGCTGCTATCTTGTCTGGGTCGTCTGGAACAACAGCCGTCGCCACCACTGCTGCTGCTGGCAGCAGTGACTGCACTGCCTGCACTGCCCTGGGGCCACTGGGTGGCGAGAGGGGGTACAGTGTGAAAGGCATGGGGGACACGGGCATGGAGTTGGAAGGCGGGAATTAGAGCAAGCGCCCATGGAAACACAGCAAGGGAAGAGGAGAAAGTCATGCTCTACTTGGCACTACCAAGGGGGACATGGGACTGAACATTATGCTGCAGGGTGTTTTTGAGAATTCTCAAAAACACCATGCTCTACTCGGCGCTACCAGGGGGGACATGGGACTGAACATTTGCAAGAGGGAAACCTCAATTCTACCAGACCTGCCACCACCGCGGGACCACTTTCTTGACTCACCTGGCATCTGCTGCTAGGCCTGCCGCCACCGTGTCACTGACAGTCAGAATCGCCACTCGCACACCCGCACCCACAGTGGAGGCAGCAGCACCAGCAGTGGAAGGAGAGGCAACAGCAGCAGCAACAGCAGGGGCGGAAGCAGCACCAGCGCTTTGCTTATGCCCATTCCCATGCCCTTTCCCATGCCCATGACTGCACCCACACCCATACTTCTCCCCCTCCTCTCCCTCCCCTCCCTTGCCCACAGCCTCTCCTCCTTCCGTCCTCCCCACTGCCACCGCAGGGACCGCCAGGCACGCAGCAGCATCAGGCAGCAGCAGCGCGGAGACAAGAGAGCCTGCAGGGAGGGAGCCCCGCGCCTGGGGCAGCTCAAGCAGGCAGTGCGCTGAGCGCATGGAGAGGAGGCGACTGCTTATCTGCCTGCCTGTGCTGTCTGCTACGAAACCAGACACAGCGGTGGAGGAAGGAGGAGCAGGAGTAGCAGAAGCAGTAGTGGCAGTAGCAGTAGCAGTGGTGGGAGCAGCAACAGAGGAGGCAAGGGCAGCAGGGACGTTTGGCTCCCAGCGGAGGGACGCCCGGTGGTACTCGGGGCGGTCAGGGTCCAAGCGGAGAGCAGAGGAGATGTGGGCCTGCACCCTGTTGGGTGGATGGGGGAAAGGGAGGAATAAAAGGGGTATGCAGTCCGGTGCAATGCAATGAGCGGTATAACTGCAATGCGTTCATTGCAAGCACGTAGGGGAGGGATGCTCGGTGGTACTCAGGACGCTCAGGGTCCAAGCGGAGAGCAGAGGAGATGTGGGCCTGCACCCTGGGGGATGGGGGACGATGGGAGGACAGGAAGAGGTATGCAATGCGGTGCATTTGATGCGGTGCGTTGTGCTACTCACTCGCCTCCACTCTTCTCTTCTCCCTAGCTTTCGCGCTGGCATTGTCTCCTTTTCTTCCAGTAACACTTCTTGTGCAACTCACTTGCGTCACTCCAATCATCCACTCTAACCACCCCTTCCCCCTTCCGCTTCCCCTGCTCACCTCTGCAGCAGGGGATGAAGCCAACCCTCATCTGCCGAATAGCAGGCAGCACAAACAGGTTGAAGGACTTTTGAGGCAATTTAAAAGTCGTTTCTCTCTCCTCGCCCTCTTTCCCTCCTCACCTGTGCAGTAGGGGATGGCGCCAACCCCCCATCTGCCGGATAGCGGGCAGCACAAACAGGTTGAAGCACACCATGCAGCTGACCGGATTCCCGGGCAGCCCAAAAACTATCGTTCGGTGCGGCTGGGCGGCGCCATCCGTCTTATCTGAGGGGGCTTCGATGGTTGCAAAAGTGAGCGGTTTTCCTGGCTTCATGTGTACCTGGGGATAGAACGGAAAGGGAAGGAATGAAAGGAGAGAGGGGAGGGAGGGGGGAATGAGGAGGGAACGGCAAATGGGTAGGGAAGGAGGGAGAGGAGAAAGGATAACAAGGGAGGGACGAGATGGAGGAGGGGTGTAAGAAGCACCCACTCACCCGCCCAAAGTGCACGGTACCAAGCCTTTCCAGCAGCGGCTTAACAAAGTCCCTGTCGCCCATGGACACCCCTCCAGACGTCACCACCACATCCGCCTTCTCTGCCAACGCCCTCTCAAACGCTGCTGCCACGGCCCTCACTGCCCCCCTGCCAGCCCTCAAACCGTCACTCACCCAGCAAAACAGCACCCACTCACCCGACCAAAGTGAACAGTCCCCAGCCGCTCAAGTAATGGCTTGACAAAGTCCCTATCGCCCATGGACACTCCTCCAGACGCCACCACCACATCCGCTCTCGCTGCTAGTGCCCTCTCAAACGCTGCTGCCACGGCCTCCTCTGTATCCGCTGCTATTCCCAGATCCAGAGGGGCCGGACAGCTTGCTGCTGATTGTGCTGCTGATGGTTCTGCTTCTTCTGATGCTGCTGGTGGTGCCGAGGCTGCTCCCAGGTGTTGGCGCACAGCAGCCAACAGCATGGAGCGATTGGCGTCCCTTATCTGCACACCAAGAGAGAGGGGAAACGGGACATTCGAAGGATGTACTGAGGCAACTCATGGGAATTCATTCAAAGAACAGAGTGTGCAAAACCAGGGAGGGAAAATAAAAAGACACATGACGGTACACTGAGTGCTGCGATCCCGGCAAGGCACGAGGGGGAGGGGAAGTAGAAGATGACAATGAGAGGAGGTGGTGGGGTGGTGTAGTGTGGGGACGGTATGTATGATATGAATGAAAGCTACGTGGAGTCTATGAGATATGATGATCCGGTTCCCACGTGTGCCATGCTGCTGTGCGGGGCGACTCACCATGCCGCTGTGCGGGGCGACTCACCATGCCTCTGTGCGGGGCGACTCACCATGCTGCTGTGCGGGGCGACTCACCATGCTGCTGTGCGGGGCGACTCACCATGCTGCTGTGCGGGGCGACTCACCATGCCGCTGTGCGGGGCGACTCACCATGCTGCTGTGCGGGGCGACTCACCATGCTGCTGTGCGGGGCGACTCACCATGCTGCTGTGCGGGGCGACTCACCATGCCGCTGTGCAGGGCGACTCACCATGCCGCGAGGGAGAGTGGCACTGCCATTCTGTGCGGGGTCTATTAGCTCATCTCCTGTGGAGAGGACTGCCACCAGCGGCTGCCGGTGCACCTGAGGGAGGGTAGAGAGGGGATTAAAGGGCGGGCGAAAAGGGAGAGAGGGAGGGAGAGTGGCACTGCCATTCTGTGAGGGGTCTACTATTAGCGTTAGGTAGGCAAACCATTCGCCTGCACCTATTACGAAAGTCCTCATTCGAAACACGCCTCCAGCGCTTTGCGAGATAAGCAAGTGATGCCAAGATGAGCATGCAGGGAAAGCAAGGCAGGGCACTCACGTGCACGTGTGCTGCCCCCACCGTTGCCAGCAGTCCCATCTCCGCTGGCCCAACGCGCTCGCCTGCCTGCAGCACCACTGTGCCAGCAGCAAGATCCGAGCCCTGAAAAAAGGTTGGATGAGAGGAGGGGGAATTGGATATACGCAGTGTATGCTCGCATTCGTTTGGCCGTGTGCATGCAAGGGCGCAGCAGAGAGAACCCTAGGCAGGAATGTCAATTGGCGAGGAAGAAGTTTCGTATACTTCCAACTTCCAGATTCCAATACCGAGTGAGCAATTCCAACGCACGCACCACAGGGCGGATGTCTTGCCCCACGGTAGCGCCCTTCACTATAGTCACACGCCTCTGACCACTGGAGGAGTCAACAGGAAGCGTGTCCTCCACTTGAATCACCGCGTCCGCACCCTGGGGAACCGGGCCTGAGGGGGGAAGAGAGAGTGGGCGAAAGCGCTCAAAAAGGGGCAGATTAGCCATCACGTGGCTGTTGGATTGGCGATGCAGAATACATACCTCATGGAAAATACATCCATTGCGTACCTCCCGTGGTGATGTAAGCGACGGTGCCAGGTGTCACCACCACATTGGCTGCATCATCCCCCGCACGCGCCTCAGCAATGATGGGGAACTCGCCTGGCCCGTCCGCTGCCACCACAGCGTAGCCATCCTGACAGCAAGAAAGGAGAATTGTCAAGAAAGACAACGCACAGAGGTCACAAAGAAGAAGATGCATTCAGATTCAAACCAAATCCATCTGGACCGTCTGATGCCACCACAACGTAGCCATCCTGACGTCACGAAGAAGAGCCGACGAACGAGATGCATTTTGAATGGACTCAAGCTTCAGATTGCACCGAATTCCACCTCAGCATCGCCAGCATCACGTTAAAAAAGGAAGATGTAGAAGGAGTTGCACTTCGCGTCGACACAAGGTGTTCAACAAACCAATATTCTGAAGAGTTGTGTTTGAAGGACTTGTAACGAAAGGCATCGAAGTGACCACGAGACCTATTGTAATAGACTTTATTATGAGAATTCATGATCGATCTGATTTTCGTAGAAGAGCTCTAATCAAGAAGGAAACAGCAGCGCAATGCAGTGACGCCAAGATTGAGCATGGGATGAAAGAATAAATCTCAATTGCCTCATCTCGCCTTGATTGAAGCTGGAAACGGCGGCATCGGCTCGGGAGCAATGACATCTTTCGCGAGTACGCATCCTAACGATTCGTTCAACGGAATTGTAACCGCTGGAAGAGGTTTCGCGTGCTCGAGAACAAGCTTCTGAGCCTCGTCGACTGACACCATTGGATACGCGGAACTAGGAGCGCCTTCTACGGCGGGAATTCCGCATGAATGGTGCGCGTCGTCACCATGAGGAGCCATGCTGCTGAGTCAATATGGCTTCGGCAATACTGGGGACTGAGGGGTTAGGCGGCTTTATTACAGCAGACATCAATAACTCTACCATAGATAACTGAAGCCTTCATCTCCAATTCTTGGAATGTATCTTGTGGTGCTGCTCGGTGCTGCCTGGTGCTGTCTGGTAGCGAGGGTGATTGTTTGCACCAAGAAGGTGACTTTCGATTGGCTGTTGGAGTATCACGTGGAAAATCGAGGGTGCGAGGCAGCCGAATGTCGTCAGAGTTTCGCTCGTTGGAATCACATTCTGTCAGAAAAGTGTTCTCTAACGAAGCGTCGTGCGACATCACCCCCTTGTATGCCACAGTAGCACCCGCCCGCACCTGGCAAACCAGCAAACCCGACCACAGTAGCACTCGCTCCGATTATCCACGCGAGCGGATCATCGGTCCGCGCGCATGGCGCAAAGTGGCGGCTGGAGCTAGACAGGCTCCGCGGGGCACACAACAAGAAGAGCCACCTTGGAGATCTGCGCGCGAATTCGGCCGGAACAAGGAAAACACCGCGGATCAAGTGCGTTTCAACCGTCGGATTTAGATCTGGGAATCCCCAAGACAATGCACAAACCAACTACTGTAGAAGTTCTCCAGGAACAGCAAATTCACCACCTTGGTGGTATCGCACTCAACCACGGTCGTCATGGATCCACGCTTTGTGTCAGATTTAATCACCGATGTATACACCTTCTAGAAAACTAATGAACCGTGAGGAACACCTTCTTAACTTCCCACTGATCCCATCATCATCAGCAGCATTCACCTGGATCATCCAGATCCATAGCCTGAATCTACAGCCTAAGCTCATTCCCTTCTCGTACTTTCCCTCGCTTATCCTCGCGAGGCTGCTTATTAGTGCTGCGCTGCGTCTCCGATTGCCGTAAATTGATGAAGGCTCCACCTTTTATGCGATACATTTTTTAGTCTCCTCTCCCTTGGTCCTGAATCCGTCGCCACGCGATGGCGAGGCGATTTGATTACCATCACCAGCAGCAGCACCAGCAGGCCGGCCGGCGGACTCTGGCGACATTCTGTTTCGCCTTCGTCCTTTTCCTGCTCGTCGCCGCTTACCTCTTCAGTGGCTTCAAGCCGGGACCGATTCCCACATCGTCCGTGGTACGATCGCTCTATTCTTGAAAAGAATTCGTCATTTTCGTGATTGCTTGATCTCCACTGAAAGAATCACTCGGCCTTGTCGCCATTGTGCGAACCCGTTCTGATAATAGCAATCTGATACTCAAAGGTGTTTCTTGATCAAGATTCCTTAAGACACCTTTTGGTCCTGAATCCGATCAAACACGTGTCGATCAGGACTCCACTCTAAGGCGTACCTTAAGGACCAGGAGTTAACTCGACACGTGTCGATCTTTTGTCCGACGTGACACGTGTCGATCATTTCCAGCTTGGTATTTACGAATCCAGAATCCAGCTTCCCTTGGTACAGTTTTTTCTCCCATATCCGGACACGAATCGTCTCACAATGCTCTTTTCTGTCCGCGGTTCTGCTACGCATCAGTCCAAAAATCTACTACGTTCTTATGTGCTGTGCTTTTCGTTCATGATGAGGATCAGGATCGGGCAGGAGACGGCCTTGGAGGTCCCAACACGTCAGATGCGCTGGGAGATGAGCCGCAGGAGCACGAGATCCGGGATTCTAGCAAGCTCAGCCTGAATTTGCCTCCAGTGAAGGGCGCCGGGTACGTTTTTGCTTCTCCCGATCTGTTATGAGTTCACTTGAACTACACGTAGGTGAGCCGATGGAGCACGAGATCCGGGATGCTAGCAAGCTCAGCCTGAATTTGCCTCCAGTGAAGGGCGCCGGGTACGTTTTTGCTTCTTCCGATCTGTTATGAGTTCACTTGAACTGCACGTAGGTGAGCCGATGGAGCACGAGATCCGGGATGCTAGCAAGCTCAGCCTGAATCTACCTCCAGTGAAGGGCGCCGGGTACCCTGTTTCTTCTCCGAATTCATTCAGCTGTCGGCTATGCTTTCTTGTTCCTGGGTCCCCTTACCCGCCGGTTACGCTTTCTGTCCTCCGGACCCCCCTTCTTTTGTCCTGATCCGTTTGCCTCGTTTCCCATAATTTTTCATTTAGGACAAGTGGAGCGTGGTACCCTGATACTTTATATCACAATCCAAGCTGTCGAAGGATGCTCCATGTGTCGACCTCGCTGTACGCGTTTTGAATTGCTTCCTTGGCTGTTTCGTTACAGGGAGCCGGCAGACTCCGACATGGAACCCCCCCGGAGGGCCGTGGACGAGGAGGAAGGCGGCGAGTCAGCCGCACAAGAGGGCCTGCGGGGGGCGGGCGGGGGGGATGCGCGCGCGAAGTCGGAAAGAGAGAGAGACGCGCAGGACGCTGCTGCGCAGGAGGGGGATTCGGACGGCGGAGATGGTCAGGAGGAAGGCTTGTTGCACAGCCGCACTGGTGGCGATGCGAAGGCGGCGGCGACGGCGGCTGACGCGGCTGCTGCTGCTGATGCGGATGGTGACGGCGTTGTGACTGGAGGCTCGGAAGGGGTGGGCGCGGCGAAGGAAGGGGAGGAGGAAGAGACGGGCGAGAAGGGTGAGGAAGAGAAGGGTGGTGCGGAGAAAGAGAAAGAAGGAGAGGAGGACGAGAGCGGGGTGGAAGGAAAGGGTTCTGATGCGGAGGAGAAGGATGAGGAGAGTGCGGTTGGGGAGGCGAAGGGAGGGAGAGTTGCAGGTGGTAAGAAGACGAAGAAAAAGGATGAAGCGGAGGAGGGGGAAGAGGAAGAGGGGAGCGGAGCAAAAGGTTCTGAGACTAAGGAAGGGGAAGAGGATGGCGAGGAGGAAGAGGGTAGTGTGAAGAAGAAGGGGGTGAAGGGTAGAGGGAAGGATGGAAAGGAGGGAGAGGAGGAGGAGGATGAGAGTAAGCCGAAGAAGGGTAAGGGGAAGGAGGGGGCGGAGGAGGAGGGAGGTAGTGAGGAGGAGGAAGAAGAGAGCGCCGGAGGCAAGAAGAAGAAGGGCGGCAAAGGTGAGGAGGACGCGGAAGAGGAGGAAGAGGCCTCCCCGGTTGCGAAGAAGGCGAAAAGGGCGAAAACGAGCGAAGAGGAAGACGAGGGGAGTGATGGGGAAACGGAGGGAAAGGGAGGGAAGGGAGATGAGAGCGAGGAAGACGAGGAGAAGCCGAAAAGCAGGAAAGGGAAGAAGGTGAAAGCGAGTGAGGAAGAGGGAGAGGAAGAGGAGAAGGGGTCAGAGAGTGAAGAGGAGGAGGAGAGTGTGAGCAAGAAGGGCGGAAAGAAGAAGGCATCGGCGAAGGCGAGTGAGGAGGATGAGGAGGGTGAGAAGAAGAGCGAGGATGCGGAGGAGGAAGGGGATGAGGGGGATGTGAAGCCGAGCAAAAAAGTGAAAGGAGCAAAGAAGACGAGGAAGGAGGAGGGAGAGGATGCGGAAGAGGAGACAGGTGGTGGGAAGGGGGGGAAGGATGAGGAGGGGGGTGATGGGAAGGGGGAGAAAGAGATAGAGAGCACAGCTGATGCGGAGGTTGAAGAGGATACTGTGGCAGCTGAAGCAGGGAAGGCTGGAGTGAAGGGTGCGAAGGGGAAGAAGAAGAGTGCGAAGGAGGTGGGTGAGGACGAGGAGGAAGGGGAAGGAGGAAAGAGTGAGGATGGTGGGAAGGAGAGTGGGGAGGAGGAGGAAGAGGAAGGAGGGGCTGCGAAGAAGAAAGTGAAGAAGAGTGGGAAGGAGGAGGAGGAAGCTGATGACGCTGGGGAGGGAGGGGAGGAGGAGGAAGGGGAGACCGGGGCAAAGAGGAAGGCGAAGAAGGGAAGCGAGGAGGGAGAGGAGGAAGGGTCGGAGGAAGGGGGAGAAGAGAGTGAGGAGGAGGAGGTGAAGGGCAGCAAGAAGAGTGGAAAGACGAGCAAGAAGGGGAAGGCGAAGAGCAAGAAGCTGAGGGGGGAGAGCGCGGATGGCGCTGAGCAGGATGGGGACGAGGAGGAGGGTGGCGCTGCAGAGACAGTGGTTGAGAAATACGAGGTGAGCGTGCATGCTGTTGAGATTACTCTTTTAGACCTGAGCTTTCAGGCCGGCTGCTGTTTTGTGTGTCACCGCGTGCGTGGTGAGTCCCGCCGTGAACAGGCGCCTGAAGCTGAAGCTAGTTTTGAGGCACCTCAAAACTAGATTTCGTGTGTCACCGTGTGGTGAGTCCCACCGTGAACAAGCGCCTGAAGCTGAGACGGACCTCTTCCCCCTCCCAGCGCCATCACTCTGTTTTTTTCCTTCCCCCGCCCCTCCCTCTCTCCCGTTCCAGGCGTGTGACCCTGAGCTGTCAGAGATAGTGCCGTGCCTGAGCCC